CTGTAGGCACTTCTATCATTGATGAATGTGGTGAGTGTGGTGGCGATGGCTCACTCTGTCAAGAAGACGACGAGGATGACCTGGCCAGCTGCACCGTGTATGGAGGTTTTTCGCGCACCTTTTCTGGTCTGGACATGCAGGCGTGTGTTTCTGGCACCATGCTGCTTTTTGCTGATGGTACCGAATGCTTTACCGCCGACGTGCAAGTCTACGGTCATTTTACTTTGCGTGATGCTGCTGGCTACACGGCACTGAACAGCCTCACGGTTGTGATTGGCGATGCGACCGCCACCGTCACCGTGGCAGGGACGGTGCGTGTGGATGGCGTTGTGCAATCGTCGCTGCCGCGCACTCTGGCGAGCAACTGGACGATTACCAGTGCCTCGCAAGTCGTTACCTTTAGCTCAGCCTCCCAGGGTATCACTATTGCTTATACGTATGGCCGCGTTCTCCGCATTGACGCCCCGCGCTATTTTGCCGGAGAGATCTGTGGCCTCTGTGGTGACATGCAAGATTCATATGAGGCATGGGCGCAAGCAACGAGCAATGTGACCGTCACGAGCGCACACGCCATGACGTTCGTGCCTGCAGAGAACGAGGGCTATATCACTTCTGATACCTGTGACGAGCAGCCTCGGGCGGTTGGTAACGACACGCTTTGTGAGGATCTGCTCGATGCACGTTACAACTCTTGCCGTGCCCTGTCGAACCTGGACGTTGACGCTTTCCTCGAGCGCTGCCACCTGGCGCACAGCCAGTGCGGCGCGGGATGCGCCTGTACAGTCGTGGCGGGTTACGAGCAGCTTTGCCGTACCAACGGTGTCACCTTCTCTTCGGTGGTGGACAGTTGCGGCGTTTGCGGCGGCAACGGCTCAAGCTGTGCCGATCCCGATGACGACGGAGATGATCCCACTGGCGAAGACGATGATCCCTGGAAGGATGGTGATGTGACAAACGTAACCAACGGCTATGCCCTGTGCTTCCGACAAGCGGGGGCGGCAGCATCCGGTCTCGTGCCCTCGGGAATGCTTGAGTCTAACTTTGTTATGATTGAGTTTTTGGCGAAGCCGTTGGCCTATGGCGGCACTGTTTTCTCTTATGTGTACACCAACGCGCCGAGAAACGCTACCTCAAACCGCCTAGATTTTGACATGTGCGAACCTCGTCCTCAGGAAAGTTTGCTGGAGCCCGTAGCCAATCCGCCCCGAAACGGCCAAACCTTCGCCGTATTGAACACCCAGCCTGTGACGTTGGCATATGGCGATGAGCGACGTGCAACCAACTTCACCATGGTTCTGGAGGAGTGGAATCATGTCGTGCTTGTCTGGTCTCGTTTGCAGAACATTGTCCAGTTCTACCTGTTTACCCCAGAAGGTGAGCTACAGCAACAGTTTGTTCGCTTCGAGTCGACAGATACCATCTTCAATTCAGGGGGCCTCATGTCTCTGGGTGAGTGGGCCGTGGGTCCGGCAAGCTTTGAAATTCCTGATGATGCACGTCCCTACTGGGGTTGCGTGGATGAGTTCAGGATCTTCGAGCGAGCCCAGACTCCTTTCGACGCTTCGACCATCCAGCAGAACTTCCGGCGCAACGTGCAGCCCTCGGCACAAAACCTCAAGCTGCTTTACAAGTTTGACGATGGTGAGGGCGATACGGTCCGTGATCTGGGCCCCGTTGGCATGGACCTGATTATGGCGGTACCTCCGCTGCCCAGCCCATACTGGCTCTTAACGTACACTGACATCGAGGACCTAACATCCTCGAGTAGCTCAGAGCTGTCTTTTGGCTCGGATGAAGAGGAGGCTGCCGCGATTGACGTTTGCAGCCGTTTCATTCAGAGCTCTACCAGCCTCTGTGCCCTGCTCGAGTCAACCACGATCGAGTACTTCTATGCCGCGTGCTTGGATGAGGTTGCTGTCAGTGGCGACGTGTCGGCTTCACGGTCGGCCATCCTTGCCTTTGCTGACTTTTGCGAGACCGTCTTATCGCTTTCGCAGTGGCCTCTGCAAGCGTACTGCAACGACTTCCCTGAGTTTGACTTTCCCATGTGGATTGGGCCATCTTGTGATGTCGAGTGCTATAACGGCAACGCTGACGATGCCAATCCCAGCGTCTGTGCTTGCGACAACGGCTATTATGGCGCGGCTTGCCGCTCCGTTTGTCCGGGTGGTGCTTCAAACCCATGCAGCGACCACGGGCGTTGCGGATCTAACGGTGTGTGCGTGTGTGACGCTCGCTTCTCTGGCGTCGATTGCAACGCCTGCGCCGAGGGATGGATGGGTGATGAGTGCGAGTTTGCCATGATGAGTGGTGGTGCGAGCAACGAAGCGGCTCTCGAGGCAGCCGGTATCATCTCTCCATTCTCTGGCACTCGCTTCTCCTTTGACCTGCGCGGCGAATATCTACTGTATGCCGTGCCGGACATTGAAGTCCGAGTGACAGCTGTGTTGCTGGCATGCTTTGACGGCCGCCTGTCTTGTGTCGACCGCGTCCGCTTTGCTGTGGGCAACGTGACTGTGACGTTTGATGTCAGCACGGTGAGTACAGTGCGTGTGGAGGTCGAAGGCCAAACTGGCACCTCAATGCTGGGCTTGCACGGCGTTGGCCGTGTGGTTAGTGCTTGGCCGTTTGACATGGTTCTCACCTTGTTGAACGACCAAAGTGCCAACGTGGCCATTCCTGCTTTCGGCCTTAATGCAGTTGTGAGTGAGAATGGTGATGCTGGTCTTTCGTTGCGCATGACGGCTGCTGACGCCATGGTCTCCTCAACCAGTGCCAGCACCGGTTCCAGTCTTTCCACTGCCATGCCTTCGGGCGCAATGACTGGTTCTACTTCGTCGTCGATCGCAACTTCGACAACGGCAACGAACCAGACCAACACCACCACAAGCACCTCCACAAGCTCCACAAGCACGACTAGCACAACCAGCACAACCAGCACCACTTCAACCTCCACCACCACTTCCCCAACAGGCCCGGCAGCCTTGCCCACGGCTTGCCGTGTCTCATACGGTCTTTTCGGTGCTTGTACCGAGGCGGCCGTGGTGGCTTGGCACAATCAGACTTTGAACACGGTCCTGGAATACTACGAGTCAAGCTATCGACTGTCTGTGGCAGGTGTCAACAACACCGCTGGTGCAGCTGTCTTCCTTAATGACTCGTCGGTAAGTGGGCCCCTCGACGTGCACGTGACTACCCAATTTGCCCTTGATCTGATGGTCAAGCCACGGGCATTGGGAGGTGTCATCCTCTCCATTGCCGACCAGCTCAGCCTGACGGTATCACATGGAGACCAGGGCTCCTTTTCACGCTTGGTGCGTTCGGGTGCCAATTTGCGAATGGTGGCCTTTGAGCGCCCTGTGGTCTTGGGAACCGTTTACGTAAGCTGTGACGCTTTTACCACTCCCTTTACCGTCGCATCGCACAGCGTTTCAGACGATGGTACCAAGGTTGCAACGCTGGTGCCACAGAGCACGATCGCAGATTGGTCCACGTTGACAGCCTGTGTTGCTGGCACGTGGGAGACACGCACACTCACCATCACATATGGCGATGAGATTGTCGACTCAAACATTGAGCTGGCAAATGACGCATGGTCGCAGCTGACTCTGGTGCACCAAGCTGAGCTCGGCTACGTCGAGCTCTGGGTCATCGATGAACGTAACGAGATGTTTTCAGCGGCTGCTTGGGTTGGTCTGGACGCCGACTTTACGTCTGGCACCCTGGCCCTGGGTCGCTGGCTCGGTGGCTCCCTGGGCATTGGACGCCCACCCTCCATGCCTTTCGTGGGTGTTGTGGATGAGCTCCGCTTGTGGGATCGCCTTAGTAGTATGGCCATTGTGCGCTCGACCTTTGGTGAGAACATCCCGCGCTATGCGCCGGGACTTCTCCGTCATTGGCGTTTTGATGAGGGCACAGATGACCTGGCCTTTGATAGTATCAACGGCGACCATTTGCAGGGGCCATCCCGTTTGGCGTTGGCTTGGGTTGCCTCTGATGTACCGATGGCAGGCGCCGTTTCGTATTCTTTGGCCGCCCTGGAAAATCGGCGGGTCACCGTCTCTCGTTTCGAGCTTCGGCGCCGGCGCCGCGCAGTGGTAACTTCAGTGGCCGGCTGGCCTGCTACCGTCGCGGTCAGCGATCTGACTGCCGACGAGCAGATGGCCATCCTCGCCAGCTGCGATGATTGGATCGATGCCTTGCGTCCAGCTTGTGGTGCGCTTTCCCCGGCCATCTTCTCGTCTTACCGCTTTGAGTGCATCCAGCAAGCCGCGCTCAGCGGCGTGGCCACTACTGGGTTGGGCAGCGTTTTCGCACTTGGTACCACATGTCAAAAGGCTCTGGGCTTGAGTGACTGGCCAGCCCGTGTACTGTGCAACGAAGGTTACCCCACCATCTACATTGGCGAGGACTGCGATGAACTCTGCTATTTCGGCGTTGCAGCCGCTGATAGCGAGGGAGATGCATTCTGCTACTGTGATGATCTGCACTGGGGGCCCTCTTGTCAGCAGACGTGCCCGGGCATCGTCAACAACACGGCGTGCTCGGGTCATGGCGATTGTAACAATGTAACCGGTGCTTGCGAGTGTGATGACCGCTGGGCTGGCGACGACGTTTGCAGCACCTGCACAGCTGGCTGGATTGGTACCGATTGCTCCGTTGCGCTCTCAACGCTCAAGGAGGACCATCCCCAGGCCGTTTGCGTGTCGTTTGGTGACCCGCACACGACCACCCTCAGCGGTACCAACTATGATATGAACTCGCTTGGTGCTTTCACTATGATGCGCAGCGAGGACACGCTGGTTCAGGTGTTCCACTTGCCTTGCGAGGCTCATCACCAGTGCATCACCACGTCAGAGGTCTCTGTAATTCATAACAACCAGGTCGTTGTGGTTGCATCGCCCCGTGACGGCAGCGACGACTTGATCCTGTCGCATCTCTCAGGCTCGATGCGGTCGTACGAGCAGTCAGACTACCCGAGGGTGCCTGCGCTGGATGCGATGTCCGTGCGGTATTACCTCAATGGCAGCCGGCACAAGATTATCATCACCGCTGGCGATGATGTCAACGTGACGGCTGCTTCGTACTCGGGCGTCCTGTCCGTGGCTGTGGCCGTTTCGAACACGCTGCAAGGCAACGTGAGTGGTCTTTGCGGTGCGTACGATGGTGTTTTGGAAAATGAGTTTTACTGGCGAGGCTGCCCGCCCAACCGGCGAGGCCAATACTGCCAGCTCCTGGATTGTCCTGGCACCCCAGATTGCGGTGGGTTTGGCACATGCACACTCGCGCGCCCCGGTGGCACGCCGTATTGTGAGTGCGAACCGTACTTCGGTGGCAATGACTGCAGTCAATTGAGCTGCCCCGTTTCATGTGGTAGCCATGGCTCGTGTGTCTTGCTTGAAGGCGCCACGACGCCCTCATGCCTGTGCGACACCAACTTCTTGGGTGCCAATTGCAGCGAGTGCGTAGCCGGCTACGGTGGTGTCAACTGCGACGTTCCTCTTGTGTGTCCGATGAGCAATGCAACAGAGTGCGCCGGCCACGGTCAGTGCACCGTGGTTGGAAACACTCCTACTTGCATTTGTGATGAAGGCTTCACGGGTCCCATGTGTGCTGCTTGTGATGAGGGTTTGGGTGGCAATGATTGCAACCTGAATGTCTCGTGCCCGGGCTCGTGCTCGGGTCGCGGACTGTGCGTACCTGATGGACCAACGGCCAACCTCTCCGTCAGCCTCAATGGCACCTGCAGCTGCTTCTCAGGATACGAGGGGGCTGATTGTTCGCAGCTTCGCTGCCCGGGTTCGCCATCTGCGTGCTCAGGCAATGGCTACTGCAGAGAACGCGAACAAGGTGGTGTGGAGTGCATTTGCGACGAAGGCTTTGCTGGCGCAAATTGCTCAGTTGCGATCCTAGCATCTTCGACCACGACAGCAGGGCCCACCACTGCCACAAGCACGTCCATTCCCAGCACCATGAACACCACTGGCGTCAGCTCCACTGTTGGCACCTCGACCGCTTCGAACCCTGCGACCACCCCTGTCCCTACCACCACCTCAACCACCACCACCTCAGTGAGTACGGAAGAGCCGGTGGCCTTTATTGACGTTCTCTCGCAGTCGTGGATTGACAATGTCGTAGCACAGCGTTTTGCTGTGTCAACATACGACATTGCCACGACTCAAAAGAACCTGGGGGCAACGCAAGTCAGCGGTGGTGGTTTCATGGTCAGCGGCAACCTCTCGGCCAGTATCACTCTCCACCAGTGCGGCGTGGCACGCAACACTACGTGTGAGCAAAATAATGGACTGAGTCTGGAATTTTGGGTCAAGATTGGCGAGCAAGACATTTACGATGATGTTCGCACCCGCACCAACGTATCCTACCTTGTGGATGACGTTCAGGATGCCTGGACCAGTGAAGCATCTGTGGAAGACACAGTCTACGCTGCTGGCGAGGATGCTGTCTACATTCCTCGTCTCAATGAGTCACGACTGGTGCCCGGATGTCACGATCAAGCTTTCGTGTCCTTTTTCACTGACGAGGCCACAGGCACATCATTCAATGTGCTGTGCCGTGACAACATGCTGACGGTTACGTGGGGTGCATTCGTGTTCCAATCAGATCTTACCATCTATCAGGGACTGTGGACTCACGTGGCCATCAAATGGCGCTGTGTCGATGGTCGTCTGCAACTTGAAACCTCGAGCCCTGGCTTGAGTAACCAATCTGACGTGTTTGCCAGCATCATGCCTGGCTGTGGCTTGGCGCCCACCGGCGCCTTGCGCATCGGACAGGTCGTGCAACCCATTCTTGCTTTTGAAGAGTCGTCGTCACCGCCAACGGACAGTAGCATGCCCCTCAACGGCGCTATCGACGAGTTGCTGATGTGGGACTACTTCCGCCCCACCAGTCATACTCGGGCGACAATGTATCAGACCACCCAGCAGTATGCAGCCGGTCTCATGCTGGCTGTTGGCTTTGACGTGCTGGCGCAGAACGACACCGCACTCGAGGGCAGTGAGTACACCGTTCACGGCACAAGCTGCACCACTTTGGTTGTGCCTGCAGAAGAGACCGCCCTTGACCTGTACCAACCATCGACCGCTCCGCTTTACTGGCGTACGGATGATGAATGCAGCTTCCAAACCGACACCATGGAAGCTGATGCCATTGAACTCTGCAGTAACTGGTTTTACAACTCCACGCTATCTGATGAGTGCTCACCGTTGGGCGCGCAGGTTCTGTTTTATTACCGTGCCTGTGTGTGCGACATTGCCAAGCACGACTCGCTGGCAATGCACAAGCCCCCTGTGTGTATGATGGCATGGCACTGCATGGGTAGCGGCATCACAGAGCAGACCGACTTGTTGCGTGATTACTGTGACACTGTGTCCCTGTCTTCCACTTTCCCTGAAGACGCAAATGAGGCCTTTTATCTGGCACTGATTGTGGCTTTGCTCAGTCTGGTGTTCGCCGGTCTGTGGTTCATGCTTCTCTTCATGAAGGCGCGTCAGGACAAGCAACTGCAGGATGAAAAGACCAACCTGGAGATCCAAATGGGTCAGCTTACGGACGAGACGCGCGAGGACATTGCCTTTGTCAACCCCATGTTCGACACGGGAGAACCAGAGGTCGTTGATCCCTTGTTCTCGGCCTTTGTTGAGCTTGGTGGTCGTGGGGCACAGGACCCGCTCGTGGACTTGTCGCCCGATGTCAACTATCAGGACAACGAGGCCAATGCTCTGAAAATGGATATGTTTGACACAGGATCGAGCCGTGGTGGTGCACCCACCGCGGCTTCCAGTCTTGCAACTACGGCGGCGGCGGCGGCGGCGGCGACTGCCTCTGCCTCGGCGCTGCCCGTGGCTTCTGACAAGAGCTCGCTCCTGGCAGGCGCTGTTTTGGCAGCAGTCAAGGATGACCCTTGGTTAGACGTGTGCATTGAGATTCGCGACACAGAAATCACATTCTCGTGCGATGGCAGTGTTCTGCTCTCCACGCCCTTGACGGATGTGTTGCAGGACGGCCCTGGCACTCTGCGTGTGGGCCAGCGTCCTCCGGGGCGTTACCCCTTGCATGCAGAGCTGGCCGGTGTTACCGTTGCCTCGGATGCTGCCTCTGCCAACGCCGCTGGTACAGACGCTCTTAGCGATCCAGTACCATTGTTTGCCGTGGCTGATGACGTTAACGGTACGGTGCAAGCAGGCTCAGCAGAAGATAGCTATGTGTTTGATGGCACAAGTCAGTGCTACTTCAACGTACCGGAGCACTTCCATCCTGCTGTTCAGCGTCGCCTGGTGATTAACTTCCGTGTTCGCCCCATGCCCGACTGCCGCGGCTATGTGCTTGCCAAGACGGACCCCGCCGGCATCAGCCGATATTGGGCGGTTGGCATTGCCAAGAGCAAGGCCGGCACGAGCATCCAGTTTTACTATCAGCCGCGTGGTGTCAACGTGGGCCATCGCCTCATTTCGGCAAATGTTGGTCGCTACACGAGTGGCACCATGGACCCGGAGTATCTGATTACGGGCCACGATGATGAAGTACATACAGATGAGATCCAATCCTATCGCGCCCAGCTGCGCAACGATCGCTACCGGTTTGGCTCGGACATGGCCTCCGTGTCTGGAATGCGAGACAGCCTCAATCGCCAGTCCATGAAGATGGAGAAGCGTGGGCGCACTCGCCCTAGCCGTGCTGAACCGGACATCTCTGAAAGCTTGTTCTAAAGCTCTCGGAATCAGCTTGAACGGTCCGTTGTCGTGTGACCTACTTCACCGTTACTTTTGAAAGCGTAGCCTTGGTGAGGGGTTACAATGGTCTGTTCCTTGCTAATGGCAATGCTTGCGAGATTTCACTTGTGAATCTCTGTCCATTTTTGTACAAATACCATGTGTCGTTCCATTGTCCTTGTGTATGCGTGCGTACACACTGACACTTTGTGTTTTGCTTGTATCTGTATTGTTTGCCTTTTGGTTTTTTTGTGTGTTCTGTTTTATCTGTTTGTATCTACTGTTTGAGAGGTGTGCTTTTATGTGTGTGTGTGTGTGTGTGTGCATGAGGGAAGGCTGGGGTGATGCGCTCGAAGGGAGTACGTGGCAGCAAGAGGAACAACAAAAGTGGAAGTGCGATGAAGCAAGCGACTGGAGGTTCGGATGGGCCGGAGAAGATGAATAATACGTTTGTCCCTGACCCGTTTTGCCCCCTCGCTTCATCGAAACTTATGTTGGCTTTTGACTGTTCCTTCCAAGTCTGACCTCGTCTCCTTTCCTTTTATTGAGCAAGCACCCATGTGAGTCTTATCTCCAAACTCTTTAAGAATCGACTTTCCTTCCTGTCACTCGAGTTCAAGCCTGGCTCGCGAGATGGCGCAGCCTCACATCACATCACAGCACAGTAGCAACTCTTACACATCCGTCTCGAGCTCGTTTTCCTCACCATCATCGCCCACACCGCTGGTCATATCAAACTCTGCACCTGATAAAACTTGAAACCCGGCAAATTCTCGCAGCGTCGTTGTGCTCTGCATGTACGAGTCAACGTGTTGGACAAGGGAGGTTGTATGAGGGAGGAGACTGTCTAGTAGATCGTACATCAAACCCTTTTGCAGGTGAAAGACGTACCCAATGCCAAAGCTCGCCATTCTGAGAAGAGCAAAGTTCTGTCGAGGCTTCGAGCATGATTGTGGCGCCGCGCCCAAACGCCTGGCCTTGCAGGAATGTGGGCCTGTTGACCACGCTCTCACTGGATGTTACCCAGATGCCATGGCGAACCAACACAAGACCCGTCAAGAAGACGGACTGCAGTGCTGGCATCTTCAAATTGAAGGTTTATTGTTGAATTCATTGATTCAATGCGACAGACCAGGCGTCGTGTGAGACATGAGCAAATCATCATGTTGCCGGCTCATGCGCAACTTCATCACAATGATAAACCAAAAACGTGAGTTCATTGCTCAGGTTGACTCACTTGAAGCAATCGGGCTGTCTTGTTCAGCCGGGCAATGTCAAATCCCTGAAACGCGTCATCAAATGAGACGGAGCATAGGCTTGGCTGGAATAGTCGAGACAAACAAGTCGGGTAGACCCCGCGTTTCTCGCACTCGCTGCAAATGGAAAGTGGTCAGCACTAACCGCGAGCTCAAGGCAAGATGCCTGCAAACAACGTAAGAGGTCTTCGTGCAGAGCAACAGTGTCCGTATGAAACCCATTGCTGTTTGTTGAGCTCGGCGAGAGGTCAAAGGCATTGTCTTGAGCCGGGGCTGCCTCGGGTTGACTTGAACATGCCTGGCGCCACGCACAAGCAAGTATGATCTTACAAAGCACAGAAAGACCTCGCACCGAAAATACTCACACTTACCGATGCAGCCCTGGATGCGTTCTCTAATAGTTCATGGACCAGGAGCGGCTCATCCAGACAAGTCTGAAATCAGCAGCGTCCAGTCCAAAAGTGAGCCCGAGCAGGTGCGCGCTCTTATCCCCTCAAAAGCGCGAAATGCATCATCATTTGCTCGAAGGCTCAAGATCATGTACTTCAAATTGGAATACGAGAGAGTTAAAATCTCACCTGCAAGATTTGTAAGCCAATTGCGAGATCAGATCTGGTCTGATTGGGTACTTTTGCCTGGTTGTGGCTCAGTCTCCCCCCCCTTGTCTCGGGGTTTTCGCAGCCAGCTGACTCTGAGCGGCTCAAAATAGCCAGGTTTACCAGCTTTGACAACAATACGAATAGCAGCAAAAATTAGCTCTCAGCCCAAACTCGGCTTCGAAGAACGCTCCAGAAGGTGAGGATTCGTCTAGGACAGATACCTCCCATACCTGCTGAGTCAGATCCGATAAAAGTGTTCTCCCCTCCAGTGAACTCGCAAGGCGCTAAAACGGGATCACAAAGCATGCGTGAGACTCGACTTGGTGTGTCAAGTGGTCGGCCGAATGGCCAACGATAGGCATGGCCAGACCTTTTTGGCATCATGAACAAAAGTGGTTGAGCTAGACGCTTGACTTTCTAAACGTGCAACAACAAGGCAGAAGCGCTTGCTCGTCACGGTCGATAATGTAGGCTCAAGAGAAAATGCTCAACAAGGACTGAGTGCGTTGGCAACTCACCGTTCAGCGATGAGCCGGGTTCAGAAACATAAGATTGGCAGGCCCCTCGCTGTTTCGGGGAGTTTGAACCTGCCAATAAACAACAAAAAATCAAGACTTGTGCCGTGTTGAAAACTTCGAGCCAACAAAACACAGACAAGGAAGATGAACCACCTCTCTCAGATGCATGAGTCTGCTCCCATGCCTTTGATGATTCGTAGAGTTGTTTTTCAGATGGAAAAGAGGTCTACGCAGAGAGTAGGCGTGAGACGGAAGCTGTCAAACGAGCCAGCGCCCCCAAGCGCTTCGGGGCTTCTCACCTGCAGCGCCGTACGCATGCGAGCCAGCAAGACCAGATCAATGCTGACATTGGGTGGCTTGATCTATTGGTTCAAGATGGATGAGACCACTTCTGGGCACGATACGTCAAGCCCACAAGCGAGAACAGCAAGACCTGGGCTCTTGTGAAATCCTGCAAAAGCATGCTCATGACCGCAAGTTTGCTAGCGCTGACACATGATGCTGGCACATTCTATGATACCATGGGCACGTTGGCGAATGAAGAAAAAAAGTCACGACTGCTGTCGTGCACCAACTACACGAGAATCTAGTCAAAAGGGTGGGTGTATGTGACCTACTTGTAGCACGGTATGGGCAGAAAGTACGTCACGCATCAAGAGCGCCAAAAATGGTATGCACGGTTGGCCGGTGGCCAAACAAGCACGAAAAGCGCGTCGATAATTCTCGTGATTATTGCTAGGGTCGGCAACGTCCTCGAGCTTTCGCCGAAGCTGTGTCGCAACGACATCAAGCCCCATTCAAGCCGAAAGCACGCAAATGTGGACGGAAGGTAAGCACACCAGACCTTGCGTCGGGGCACTGATCTCAAAAGCAGACGGCTGTTCTGTCCATCGATGCATAGAGCCGACAGGCCGATGGCGGAACCTCACTGACCTTTTGAATACGCCGAGACAGCTCTCCCAGCGAGGTTTTCAACCTGGAGACAGCTGGGTGCGCAAAGACAGCGAGGAGAGAGACGAAAGAGTTGAAGTTGCCCAAGGCTAGTAAGGCGTCACAAATGGCAACTAGATGCTCTAGGGTGCGCTGTTGGTGCACCAAGCAGCAAGCATTGACAATGGCGGTGGCTCCCCAAGCGCGTAGTTGATTGCTAAAAGTAATAACTCCTGTCACAGCTCGCTCTGTCCGACCATCAATCTACAGACCATTGAAAAGTCCAACAATACCAACAATATGAACGACACCAGTCAAGACATTCCCGAAGCGAAGCGTGGAACATTGCCAACGCCGCGCTGACAAGCAAAGTCACCTACAGCAGCTAGCAAGATGTCGTTCACAGTGACCATGGCCATCTGGTCCCATTCCAGGACTGTCAGCGCATGGGCGACGGCTTGGGCGTCTGTATCAGTGTCTGATCCCCATAGAGGGTTAATGACCGGCGGCAGCGCCTCACGACACAGCGTTGGCGTTCTGCTTTTCACCAGGGCAAGCAAATAATGGGATCAGCAGTGGGCAAGAGATGCAAGGTTAATGAGTGGCTACGACAATGCTACGACGACAATGCCCCCTTGGGCGACAGAAGAGGATCAACAAGGAGCGCACGCACACAAGACGAGACATCGGCTGAGTGAAGATGGTAGACATGTCTGGACCATGTAAAGTCTGGAGTGCCTAACGGTTGTCAACCATCGCAGACGGAATGAGAAGGAATGCCAGCACAACACCATCCTGGTACCATAATCGGCGTCCAGCAACCGCAGCCATCCCCTTAAGACTGGGTTCATGAAAGTCTTCGATACCGAGCATTGTTCGAGGCGGAAAATGAATGCATTGAGATTCCTGGCCGTCGACGAATCGCTCAACTCTGCAATGTGCAAAGGCATCCAGCAGCTATCCGAAACGATCACGTGTGAAACACATCATGTGGTTGTGAAAAGAAGTGAATCTGAACGAGAACCGATTAGCTAGATGTGGGCAAACAGTCGAGTCGCACCGACAAAATTCGGCCACGGCACATTGCCAGGCCATGACGGCATCCGTAGACCAAGAGGAGAAGCGAGCAAGACAGTGGGAATTCGGAGCCCAGCTAGGCACCTACAACGCCATGAAAGGTGCAGTGCACGAGCAAAAAATGGGAATCTTTGGGGCGAACAGGCAAGAGGGAGGTTTGGAGAGGCACACGCAAAGCAGAAAAAACACAGCAGGGTCATGTAGAGGTGACCTGAAGAGCATCGAGCAGCAGCTCCAAGATTGTCACAGCGTTTGCGCGGGTGGCAAGCGCAAGAACATCAAACAAACGAGCACGCAACTGAAACCAGCGAAATAAGGTCTCGCCGTCGACAGGAGCCACTGTGCTTCGTAGTCCTCGAACGTCATCTTCGCTGATCACGCCACGGTGGCGAAAACATTCGAGCATTACCCTTTGCTTTGCAGGTAAGCGTGAAGGAGAGACCGCCCGTGTGGTTCGTGTTGGACTGCTAGAGGAACGTACTGGGCTGCCGTTTGCAAGTTGGGCAGCATGGGTTGAAACTGGAGCACCAGGGATGTCCACCCAATCAGTGTGAGGTGCCGCCCCATCCTGATCCATCATAAGCGATGATTGGCTTGAGCCTGATCCCAAGCTGAGTAGTGACGCGCGACGTGCTCCCAAGGATCGGCGTGATCGTTTTACTTTGGGTTCCAGCTTCAACCCCTCGCCAAGCTGATCAAGCATATCTGAGTTTGGCTCCGAATCTAGCACGATGTGAAGCAGAGAAAAGATGGGGTTCAGCAACGCGAGCAAGCCGGCATGTGCGTGCAGCTTCTAGTCACGTGGGGACGACGCGCAAGGGGAGGTAGGGGGGAGGGGTTGATTTGACACCCTGGCGGAACAATAGCAAAATTGCACCGGACACACCAAATGCATGAAGCGTCAAGAAAAACAGCTGAGGTACGGAGCAGACCAACGTAGGCATGTCCGACCAAGCGTGAGGGACTAGCACGCTCGTGTCTGGAAAGGCATTCCACAACCCAGAAAGAGCCTCCGCAGCAGGAGGCGGCCCTCTAAAATCCATGATGAGTGCACTCCAGAACGGAAGTGCCGAACACAAGATTTGAGTGATGACCGGCCACTTGGGCGGAATGGGTCATTGCCCAGTCATGCAACAATTCTGGCACAGAGGCCTGAGGCTTGGAGGAATCACCGAATCACATTCACATCCAACCAAGCCCATTTGCCACTTGCATGCCCGACAGCAAAGACAAAGTCACCAACAACACGTCGAGGTAGCAGATGGGCGTCGAGGTAGCAGATGGGTTGTGCCCGTGCTTTAGTATAGTGGAGTGAGCATCCGAACCGGAATCCCCCAGCGTGCTCTGGCACGTTCCTGGCACGGTCCTAGTACAGTCTTTACAACACCACACTGCACACCGGAGCAGGAAAAAAGGTAAGCAGCGGAAAACTAACTTCCTAGCCACCTTGGTCTCGATTCGCACAATACATCCGGATATATTCAAAATTCCGCTCGCACTGACATCCTCTTGAATGGCACTGCTCGGGTTGTTTGTGCAACGAGACTTGTTGTTGGGCAGGCAAGATTGCATGCATGCTAGGACGCCGGAGCGACTAATACACGAAACGAGTGAACATAACTATTTTAGCGTGAGAAAATGTCAGAAGTATCGTTCGTTCATTCATTGACTCGTGTGTGGCGTTTGAACACTTTGCTCAACTGACCGCTGTGGCGATATATCGACGAGCCCCGACCGCAGAAGGCTGCTGGCCTGCTTGTCCTCAAGCATCAAGCTGGTAGTGGACAACGCCCACTGCGTCCAGTAGGATCGACCATTCTTTACCTATATAGTGCTCAAGTCCTTGGGCCAGCGATTGGGACAGCGATCCACAGACCCATCATCACCTTGTCGCTCTAGTGCCCATTCCAAGGGCAAGAACGGCCCACGAGCATGGATCCCCTGCTGATGGACCCGAGTCAGAACGGCAATGGCGAGGATAGTGATGATCTTGCGCACACCTTGGATGAGCTCTTGCGCGGGGAGACATCTTTTACGGAGGTCGTCGATAATAACGGCGATGTGCCAGCGTTGGTGCCATCGGATGAGAGTCCACAACACACCACTGCCGGCGCCCCTCAGTCGAGTGAGCAGGGGCCAAGTTCCGCAGGCTCTAAAGCTGACCCACCCCGCCGCTCCGCTCGGCAACGCAAACCAGCCAGTTCCAAGTCGATGCATCAGCCCACCAACGGAGTGTCCTCTGGATCAACTGACAGCGACGGGGCCCGAAAGCAGAGCAACGCTCCGAGTCGAGCGCTAGCTGACAAGGAGAAGCAGGAAGCAGAGGAAGAGGACGACGCCGACGATGACGATGACACACCATACTGCATTTGTCGGGGACCAGATGATGGCCGCTACATGATTGCCTGTGACAGTTGCGATGAATGGTATCACATCGATTGCCTCAACCTCAACCTGAAGCACGTTCGGGCCCTTGAGGCGACCCATCAGACCTACACTTGCCCTAAATGTAAAGGTCAGTCAATTCATCGAAACTTCCACACGTAGCATCGACAGTTGCATTGTTACAGTGCCACAAGACACTTGCCACCCTCAGTGACACGCTTGCCTTGCGTATAGAGCCGCCAGCCAAGAGGCAAAAACCGCTGCTGCCCAGCGTGCGTGCCTGTGCTTCCAAACCAAACCTGCCATCACTGTTCTCTCCATCAAGCGCTCAGACTCATTCCTCACATGCTCTGTCCTTGTCGGCCGCGTGCATGGTCTTTCTTCGCGCTGTGGACGTGCAGATACAAACGGTGACCAATTCGTCACCCACACCCAAGAAAGGTACGAAGACTTTATCGACCTGTTTCTCACAAGGAGCGGCACTCGACTCACTGACGCAAAATGCATCGCATGCATAATGGGATGCAGGTCGGCAACGCAAGCGTACAAAAGCCGCTGAGGTAAAAAGAGTCATCTGTTTTTGCGCGAATGAATACCCTCTCTGTACTTGCGGCTTTGCATCTTGTTTGCAAGCAAACAACCGAGCTCTTTCTTCTTGGTGGTTGACGTGCAAGAGCTTGCCCACATCAAACAGCAACACTCCTCACACCAATAATGATGAATTCTTGGTGAACGACGATTGCAGGTCGTCAAGGATGAAACGACGACAATGTGCCGCATGTGTTTGAAGGAACTACATCGCGATGCAGACCAATTTTGTAGCGATGACTGTGCCATTGAAGCTGCTCAATTAGCGTTCCAGGTTGGCAGAACTAAGTTGTTTTCCGGCATTCATCGAATGATGAAGCTGTTTGCGCTGCCACACCCTTTGCCCGAGTTTACGCCCTAATTTGTCACACCCGTCTTTTCGCCATGCATATTGGCTGCTGAACTTTGCTTTTATCGTCTTGACTTTTGTTGTGAAACCGTGTGTACACAGGCCATGACAGGCATGCCGTCGGGAATGAGTCCATCGGTGCCACCCGCCTCGGCGCATGTGGCTCGCCGAGCCTCCACTTTACAGTCGGAAAATGCAGGGTCGCGCAAGAGCATGCCCCCTGCCCCCACGCACCAAAGCCCTGGGGTGAGCAAAGAGCCTCAACCCTCTCCTGCCCATGAGCGTGTGCGCACCAATTTTCGACAAGTAAGCATCCCACTATGGTCCATGCCTTGACCACCTTTGCATGTGGGCCGTGAAGCACTGCTGCGGTCGTTCTTCATCGTTGTATGATGCTTGTCGAGTTGACGAGCGAGCGTGCCGGTGCTTGCGACTCTGCGACAACGTGTATTGCACCAGCTGGCTCAAATGCTGCGCTTCATTTCTATTATTCCTAGCGCCTCGCAAAGACCATCGAAAATCGTCTAAGACACATGGCAGGTTCCGAAGCGCAAGAAATAAACACTGTGCAGCTAGCGGAGCGGCTAGAGCACGCTACCTATACACAATTCCGTTGCGAGGTTTGTAGCAGACACTGTTTGTTGGAGCTATATAGCGCGCAAAGTTTGTGGATGCCCCATGGCATTGATGTCAGCCGTGCACTGGGCTTGTTTGGTTCCTCACAAAGAATTGGCTTCTCACTTTGTTGAATACATGAAAGATTGACGATGATTATCGCAGCTTTTTACGACGGCTGATGAGCAACATGCAAGATCCCTCGGGCCAGATTTTGGATCAGCTTGCACAACACAAAGTGACACCAACGCAGGTGGCACAGTTTACACTTGAAGACCTTTTACCCCGGAGCGAGAAGCGTGAGATTGAGGAGGCCGTCAAGGAGCGTCAAGAGCAATCCATCCTCACCGCTGAGCAGCTGCAAATTCATGTGGAAAATAAGAAAAAGCCACATGTGGCCGCAAGTACGCGTGCGCACCCTTTGCCAAGAATTTCGCCGTGAGACCAATGTCACTGCCTCACCTCGACTGCCTGGGCACTGGCTGAATCCGTATACCACCCACTTGTCATGGACATGAGCAGGCCTTGCGGAATCCCTCACGACCACTGAAACTGATGAAGGTAAAGGCAGCAGCGAACGGCGGACTCTTCCTCAACGCCCCACTACGCCTACACCCTCGACTACAAGCAGGCCAGACACACAACCTGCACTGCTGCCTTGGGAGCGTACAGCAGCGAGCCAAGTGGATGCCACGCCTGACCTGCCCGCACCAGCCAATGAGACTATGGACCCCACCTTGTCTCCCGCCCTGTCTCCCGTGTCCCAGACATTGAATCGATCACACCTTGGCCCTGGCGAGCCGTGGGAAGGAAAGGAAGACGATTTGATCAACCATGCCCCACATGTGGGCTCACGAAACGTTGCAGAGCCCTCTCTTGATATTTTGACGGAGGAGGCGTGGCGTGGCACTTTGAAGCACGAGTGTGCGTGGCTTATACCTGCTATTCCCGGACACGAGCTGCCGATTTGCTTTGTAATTCTCATCTTTCTCTGCTTTGGCCATATTTTGTCGACTTCTCAGCGGTGGGACACGTAGAACTGGTAGCGTCGCTTCTTCAAAGAACCAAAGAACATGAAGCGCTTGTCAAGGCCGGTCTACGGTCACATCTACGAATCGATGGCCGCATTCGTGCCAATGATGTGCGTAAGACACGACCCTCCTCAGATGCCTGCTTGTTGACGCTGTTGCTGGTTGCTGGTATACCGTTATTGATTTCAGCATCTTGAATGCATCTCTGAACGTCCATGGAAGAGCGTTGTGGGTTCAGACTTTCACGACAATGATGCTGCGTAGGTTTGGTCGTATGTTCGCAAGCTGCGCGAGGCCTCTTCAAAGCTCTATCTGGCAGTTCAGTTTGAACCAGCCAACGACGAAGCACAAATTGCTTTTACCACTTTGATTGAATATTTCCGAAGGTACAGGCCCACGACCTCGGCGTTTGTTGTCGTTTTTCCCCTCACCGGCAGGCATTACATAGGAACAATCGCTTTGGCGTAGTCAAGGAAACGCGAGCCCCTGTGCGCGACATGTATTTGATCCCCATGGCGGCTGGCGCCGGCCTGCCACCTGCCTTGATGGAGGCCACTGGGCTGGCAACCTCAGGTTGGATGCGCGACCTCAGCAACAATGCTGACGACTGTCAACCCGCGTCGTATCTGTATCTCTTGCTGGTTATTCGCACTCACTGTTATGGATGGATGGGTTTGGCGTTTCCAGACTTGCGAAACACGAGCACCGACTCTTTGGTGGCGTTGATCATCATGAACCGTAAGAAAGAGCGTCGACACAAACCCAATGATGGGGCCCGTCCCGCGCATTCTTCGCACACTCAGACCAGGGATAAGCATGAGCCCCACCACACGCCACACGATAGCTCCATGGGTGCTGCATCGAGTGCTCCGCGCGGCGGCACGCACGAGGGATCACAAGACTCGGCACTGTCGCAGGACTCGAGCTCTAATCCTGGCCCGCATGCAACAGCACACTCGGGGTTTGATTTGCGCCAGCTCGAAGGCTTTGAGAACCTCAAAGGCGTTCTCGGCGCTTTGAACGCTGCGCACTACGATGCGGCACCCTGAGCAGAGAATTGGACTTTTGCTCAATGTCAGTCAACATAATCATCCATCAGTTTGAAAAGCAACGAGCAGAAATGCACACCAAACCCCGAGCGTTGGAGCCCGCTGCTTCGCTCATTTGTACACGCACGATGCGACACTGAATCAATCCCACTCTGCTGGCTGCACCACAGCCACATTAATACTGCCAGTGCATGTCAATTGATTCCTGTTTTTTCTAAATGGTTGTTGGTGGAAAGATAAAAATCAATCGAAACACATACGAGATACACCATTGCGAGACATGAACGAACTTCAATTTACATTTTCAGCGGGTTGGATGCACATCATGGCGCTGCGACCAGTTGCAAACGTGTTGGCGCGCTCGGGCTTGGGCTTGGGCTTGGGCTCGGCTTTACGAGCAAACACCCGTGGCCGACCTTGCTTTGCCGCACAGACTTGGTCGGCCTCGCGCCTGCTGGCTCAGCCTGCGAATTCTGCCTCAAGTTCGAGTCAAGCATCAACCCCGAACCGACTCGTCTACGAAGGCCCACTTTCCGGCCCGATCCGTCGCCTCAAGCTCGTGTCTGCCACAAGTGCCACTTTGACTTTTGCTTTTGTGCCCACGGTTTGTCTCAAGCTTGACCCAATCGTGCACGCTTATCACCCGCCCTGTTACCAGGCGGTCTACCAAGTTGCCAAGAGCTCACCTCGACCTGCCACCCGACTGCTCAACCTCGCTTAGAGCATGCTCATGGGTGTTGACCTCTGGGCTTCGGGCAAAGCTTTCATGCTGGGGACGGTTTGCCTGTTTGCGGCCGCTACTACCGGTGCGCCTATGCACTGGCCTTCTGTATCGACTGCGCGCCAACAAGGCAGCCCATGAATAAAAGAGTCTTGGAACTCGCGCTGTGACTTATATTGATGGCATCCTAACTTGCTCGTGACGAACACCTTTAGCCGTCTTACACTTGACCACACGCGGATATGTGCGCAAGATTTTTGTAGCCACCCCAGAAGCCAGCTCCGAAGCCGCTCCGACGCGCTTTTCAAAGGTCTGGCACACCCTCTCCTGAGAACGAGGCTTTAGTTACGAGGCTTTCGTTCTGCCCCCGACGAGGAGATTCCTGTCAGGGGTCAGCAATTTCTCACCATGGTTCCCATGCCGCAACCTTGCCTGGTCATTCAGATTGAGATTGAGACACTCAACATGCTGGGCATGCCCAAGCGCACACTGTTGGATTGCGCCCGTATCGAACCAGCATCACAAACGTTTGGCTTTGATAGTTTCCGCTATAATCAACGGTAATGATTTTGACCATGCGGCAGCACCAAGAAAGCCCCGTCGCTTTGCACTCACTACGTTTGTGGATATGCACCGCCTGTCTCGCCAGGGGATATTTTTTGCACGAGGAATTGGTGAATAAGAATGAAACTTTGCGCCTTTCTCTCTTGCCAAAACCCTCGCAAGAACCACCCGCCTCCGCCTAGGCTACATACAGGCCTGAGCCCGAGCTTGAAAAAATGAAACCCGCACATTATTGTTGTCACTCAGTCGAAGATGATCAACCAAGCAAACCATGTTTTGCTGTTGCACACTGATTTCAATTTGAGGGAGACCTGAAAATCCTCCACGGGCGTCACGTTCAAGATAGCTGGAGAAAGCGAGCCACGGCCGCTCTAACAGGCTCCGGGGCGCCCTCTACTGCCTGCTTGATTTGGCGTCGGCAGCCTTGACTCAAATCAGTCAAGGTCAAGCCTGCATCTTCATCATCATCATCGCCGGCTGAGTTGCGACCTGTGAAGCAGAAGGAAAGGAGGTCAAATAATAGTGTGTCCCATTTGCAAAATGCGGAAGAGTTGACTTTAACCTTTGGGACTAACCTTTGGCAGGACCGGATTGGGTGCGAAGACAGGCCTGTGGCATGGGTTTGGGCAAAGGGTCAAACCATGTTACTGAACAAAGCATTCTTCAAGACCTCCAGGCAGACGAAACGGAGCCCGGTCAGTCCTTGACCGACGTACCAGATAGAGGCCATACAAGGCTCGTACGCCCTTGGGCTGAAGTGACACGGCCTTGGCAAAATATTTGCGAGCCAACAACAAGTTGTCACGACCACCGCGCGTGTACAGAATCTGGTCACCCGTATTAGCCAGCCAAACGCGAATGAGAAGAATGTGTCGAGGCCTTTTTTAGAAGACAAGACGCCTGCGCTGCTCGTGCTGACCTCGGCGTAAAGTGTATGATAGTAATGGCTGTGTGGATTCAGAAGGAGAAGCTCCTCGGCGCAAAAGGCGGCTTTTTCATAACTAACGGGCACAGCGTCAACCGCAGTCATGAGAATGGGGTGGGACAAGCATGAAGCGCCAATAAAGCCGGGCAAAACGCATCATGCAGCCGAGATTGCGGCACTGACTCGAGCGCTGCAAGGTACAAGTCCAAGAGTTGCTGCCAGGCCTCCTCGTCCTTGCTGAAGCTAACATTCGACCAAGTAGAAGAGGCCAACAATCACGGCAGCAGCGAGAGCATCGTGACCCCAAGCGAGGCACATGGCCATGAATCGGAATGAACAAAGACGGGAATAAACAAGCCGAAGGTTTTTGAGCGCACGTTTCAATGTAGGCGTTGAGCAGCTTGATGGCCTTGGTTGTGTTGTCCTGCGCCACGTTGAGAGCTATCCTTCGCTTGAGCAAGTGCTAGCAGAATTGCCGTCAAACGAAACACCAAGCGCCCACCAGAAGGTTAGGTGAACCATCGCAGGATGTACCGATGCGCCAAAGCAGATGTTTCCACCAGTTGCCCGTACCATGTCGACCGGGTGGGCCTCGAGGAGGCTCTCGTAAAGGTTGAGCGCCTCGGCGTAGCTACAAGGAGGTAGCATTCCACATGTCAACAACTACATTGAGTGTGGAGACTGTGGAGCGTGGAGAGGGAAGTCACATCGACACCTGGACGCACCGGCCTTCGCTCTCCAAGATCATGGCACGAGCTCGCTCCACGCGCTGACTTTTGGGGAAGCGGGCCTCCAACTGCTCAAAGCACGACTAAATCGTCCGGAAAAAGAAAAAAAAAAAGATTGAGGATCAAAGTTCCAACTTGAGGTGAGCCGGGGAAGGGAGTGCGGGCAAGCCCTATTGTCTTGTAACCCACCTTCAAGAGATCCTGGCGATTGGGCAAGTCGAGGCATGCTGTCATAACTTGCTCGTAGATGGCCCACTCTGTGCGTGGGAGCAAAGCAAGGGGTCATGCACGGCGGCAACTGAGATGTAACTTTTCCAAGGCATGAGATGTGAGAAGAGGGCCATCCCTGAGCGTACTTTCATCGCCGGCCATCTTGATGGCGGTCCAATTCTGCTCGGCCATTTGAACCACCTCAACGCTGTTGCGAAACCCGGCATTGCGCCACTCGCGAAGTTGAGCTACTGCCATGATGCCAATGTTCGTCGGCGCGCTACGCACAGAAATTGGGCCAAATCCAGAAACGCCAACGTGAGATCACACATACCAAGCCATGTTCTAACGTGAACCATATTCCAGCGGTAGCCGCCTATAGAATGGGCCGTCAGCCCACCGGTATTGAGTGGGCCGCCAGCACGGCCTCGACTCACCAGAAGTTGGCTTCACTCTCGCTCTGGCCCTGCTCTCGCTCGCTCTCTCTTCGCTCACTCGCTAAGTTCTCTCTCGTTCGGAGCACGCTTGGCCACTCTATTGTTACCAAATGTACTTCAATGGAAATCATGACATTCAAGAGTTCCTCTTTGTCTCCCTTGCGCTTACGTGTGTCAGCTTCCAACTTCAATTGATGACAAGGCAGAAGCCATGATATGAACTGACACAGGTCATGTTGGCACATCAAAAAAAGATACAACGCGTTCTGGTAAGGCCAATGCAACCTCAAACTTCGTGGGCCTCACGCTGCAGCCGCGAGTAGCGGACTCTGGGAGCAGCTGGTCCTTGCCCTTGTGTCCGACCAAGCAAGCCCAAGAGGTTTTCACGATAGACAAAAGCAATAACGACGAGCACCAGGAGCACGAGAAGCCAAAACATGGCAAAGTTAGACTGTTGTCCTGCCGCCTCGTACTGACCCTTGACCTCAATTTGCTCCTCAGCCTCGCCATACTCGTCATCATCCTCAACGCCATCGCTGCCATTGTCGGTCTCGCTCGTTGGGCGAGACGCGGGCGGGGCGGGAGAAGAGGGCGTGTCTGAGCCATTCGTGCGACTTGGGCTCATCGATGTCGAAGTGTCGGTCGAGTTGGCCGTGGTGTTTGAGATAGCCGAGCTGCTAGTATTGCCCGTACTGCTCGTACTCGTTGTGCTCGTTGTACTAGTTGTGCTGGTCGTGCTGGTCGTGCTGGTCGTGCTGGTTGTGCTGGTCGTGCTGGTTGTGCTGGTCGTGCTGGTTGTGCTGGTTGTGCTGTTTGTGCTGTTTGTGCTGGTTGTGCTGGTTGTGCTGGTTGTGCTTGTCGTGCTTGTCGTACTGGTCGAGCTTGTCGTGCTTGTCGTGCTTGTCGTGGAAGAGGTCAGATTCGCCTGGAGATATGCAAACAGATTGTAAACGTGCTCGGCCTCGACTGCCCACCTGATTTTGAGCGGGACTACGACACGTTCAAAAAACTTTTCACTGCTAGGCATGTCTGCATCTGTCACATCTTTGCAAAGGTCTGATGGAGTGGCCTCGGGAATCGAGCAATTCTTCACTTTCAACGTTGCTGCTAGCTTTGTTGCGCTTTCGAAGCAGGTGCCTGGATCGCTCATTGAGACTTCGGGAAAGCACGCTAAGAAGCAACCGTTGAGTTTGTTCCAAATAGCATTGCAACCTTCAACATTGAAGTCCGCATTTGCCGAGATCAGAGAGCTGCCGAGCCAGAGATGCAACAGCGCAACCACCCAAAGCATGCTCCTCGCCATGGTGGTGGTGAATGCTTCACTTGTATTGAGCCGCACCAAAGGCAAGCTTGACAGGTCAATCAACCAAGTTCCAGGGGATCAACCAAATGAGAACAGCACCAAAGTGAGCCAGCGCAAGAACCACGCCACAGCAAGCCTTCTTCTACCAATGCATCCACAGCAACAAGAGGTTGCAACCTGATAACAGCCGAGTGAGAGAAGCCCTACACTGACCTTTGATAACAGCACGGTACAGCACAATCCAACTGCTATACCACTTGTATCCCCGCCACCGCCGCCGTCCAAGAGCAGAGTTGAGCTTACTCAACGGATGGAAGAAAAAAAAAAAATGAACAAGACGCGCAAAACAAAAGCAAGAAAGAAAGCCATCACCACGCCAACGAGCCTCAAAGGCATCATGCCTTTTACGATAGAGAATGCGATTTCACTTTGGAAGGCGGTTGAAAGTAAAATACTTTGAGGATCGCTTCTCACTTCGGACATCGACGCGATGAATCTCCTCTGCCTGGTCGTGGTGGTGGCGCTCGCCTGTGGCGCCGTCGTTCGCGGCATGTATGTGCCCAATGTGGCGCAGGGTAAATGGCTGGACAAAGCTGTCAACGCAACTGGTGCACGCTGTATTGATGGATCGCCCCCGTTTTATGCGCTCCGGCGCGCCAGTGCCGAGATCAATCGCACCAAGTGGTACTTTCACATTGAGGGCGGCGGTTGGTGCGTCAGTGCCGAGGATTGCGCTGCACGAGGTCTCACTCGACTAGGCTCATCAGATCGGCAATACGGTACGAAGGCGTAAGCAAAAATGACGGCGCACAGGCCTAGGTTTGGGTCTGCTTGGTTCGGGGCCAAGCCCACTCCACACACCCGAGCCGTGAGCTCTTCAAAACTGTCAGCATCGCCTTGTGCATCTCGCTCACCAGCCTGGTCCTTTGCATGGCCAACGCCGTAGGCTTCAATGAGACCATGGACTTGTCGGGTGTGATCGGGTGCAACAACAGCCGTTACTGTGGCAGCCTGGCTGTCCCAGACTCGACGATCAACCCGTTGAGTCACGACTGGAACTTTGCCTATTTTCACTACTGCGATGGTGGCAGTTGGACTGGTAAGCTGCGCTTTTCTCTCCCCGCGGCCCCCTTTCTCAAGAACTGCCACGTTCCCAAAATTTTGAGCCTTACTCAGGCGCGCCACCTGCTTTTACCCAACACATTCGGCATGACTAGGTGACAATATCTCGACCACCGTCCAAGATGGCCGATCGCAATACTTTAGAGGGTTTCGCAATCTCAACGCTATCCTCGGGGATCTCCTCGAATTTGAGGGTTTGAACATGGCCACGGAGGTCATCATTGGCGGTGACTCCGCTGGCGGTTTGGCCACTTGGATTCATACGGACCACATTCGACGACAGCTCCCGCCGACGACCAAGGTTGTGGGGCTCCCCGACTCGGGCTTTTTTCTTGACTACGGCCACTACCACGACGACTTGGCCTGGGTGTACCATCAGATGAACGCCACAGCTGGCCTCCACCAAGATTGCGTGGCACACTACGCGCCCCTAGATCAAACCTACATGTGCATATTTGCGCCCTATACCGCGCCTTTTTGCCAAACGCCCATGTTTGCCTTGCAAGGACGCTTTGACTCTTATCAGACCAGCGCCATCCTGGGCTCGGACGATCCCGCTCGAGTCAACCCTTATGGCCTGATGCTGCAGTCACAACTCACAGCAGCCCTGAATCTGGCCGAGCATGGTAAGCATGCGGCCTTTGTGGACTCATGCCACCATCACTGTGGCTACTGGGTCGATTGCCTGGGCAAGGTCATTGATGGCATGGGTGCTGAACTCGCCTTTACGGCCTGGTACCACAACTCGACGGCCCAGCGCTTCTGGCTTCAAAACCAAACTTTTCCTTGCGAGTCGTGCTGCAATGATGGTGACTGTGCTCAGCCCCCCTGGGCCCGTGAAAGCACAACCTCAACCTTCGGGTTCGCTTGACCTCATGAGCATATGAGTTGTGAGCTGACGCTCGCCTCACACGGGAGTGCAACCAGCGTCTGTGGGACTGTAGGCGCCTCTGCACTTGCATCAATGATCGCACGTGAGTGCTCCACTCCGCGTGCATGTAAAAGTAGTTCACATGTCAATATCAAATTTATTCGCGTCATCTCAAGTAACAAAAACAAAAAAAAAAGGAGTTTGACCATTGTCAACTTGTACTCGTTCAAGCTTTAGGGATCAAACATGCATCCATGCAAAAATACCCTGGGCAGGGGCAGAACCACCATGCTAGCACACGTTTGATCAACCATCCAGAATTGAGAGTTGAGTGCGGCACAGGTGACGGCTGCTACTTTTGTTGATGTTGCTGCTGCTGTTGGCGTTGCAGTTGCTGCTGCTGCTGCAGAAGAGCAAAGCGTCGGTTTAAGGCTTCAACCCGTGTTGCAAGTTGCGCCGTGAGGACTGAGAGGGCATCTCCATCGCGAGCGTAGTCGACCCGGGCCACTTGCTGCTCTAACATGGCCATGTGACCTTCCATGGTGCCCAAATTTTGCGCAAAACTGGCAATGACCTGATGCAGGGAGCTGGGCTCATCCAGCTTGGCACATTTGGCCGGGGGCTCTGACGCATCTGCACTAACAGTCCCTAGCGGGCTGCAAGAAGATGGTACACCCAAGCCACCCAGAATCCAGGCTCGTTGGTTACTCGTGAGCTCAGTCCCTGGTTGCTCCACCTCAATAAAACTACACTGCTTGTCCATGGCCAAGTTGGCCAGGGCATCAGCCTCGGCGTTGTTGTGGCGAAGGGTGTGTGTCATGTTCATCTCACAGGGCAAAGCAATGCTTCTTGCGTGGTCAAAAAAGGGCTTGAGGGTTGCCGACTTGACAGCATATTGGCCTTGCATCTATGTCGGCAGTCCGTGCCGTATTGGCAGGGAGGACAGGCACATACCAATGTGGAAAGCAGAACACTGTAGGACAATGTCGGCGACTTGTTCGCCCTCCTCAAATCAAACAACAATGCAAGCGGTCAAGTTCAGGCGCTTACGCTCAACAGGAAAGTGCTTACCTGACGCACAATGAGTTGCGAGTCACCGACCACCTGCAGGCCTGCGGGTGGCTTGAACAAGGTTGCGGCCCGAAGGCCCATGATCAAGCCCATGTACTCGGCCTCGTTGTTGGTCCAGCCAGGGTGAAATTTGGCCACCTACAGCGATTATGGCGTGAGTCTCCGGGAAAAGCCAGCAAGGTGAAGATCCAGCCGTGCGCAGTCCAACCTTGATGACCACTGCTCCATGTTGGTCTTTGAGGAGGGCACCGGCACCGGCGGGTCCGCCCGATCCACGCTTGTTGTCCCGCGCGCCGCCGTCAAAGTGAAGCGTCCACGGACTGGGCATGACAGTAGATGCAAACCAGCGACCCTGGCACGCTCTGAATGTGTCGCAGTCAACGCCACGCCACCGCCACCTCGCCTGCCCTGCCCGTTCTACAAGCTGAGTCAATCTCACAACAGCACCACCACCACCACCCACCACCATGCGCTGCATCGAGTTTTAGCACGGAAACAATTCTGAGCAAACTCTCAACAGTCAAACGTGTGTGTGTGTGTGTGTGTGTGTGTGTGTGTGTGTGTGTGTGTGTGTGTGTGTGTGTGTGTGTGTGTGTGTGTGTGTGTGTGTGTGTTGATCTGAGAATTGTCAGCAAGCCATTTGCCACAGCACAGCACGAAACAGTTACAAATCAAGAAAAAGAAGAAGAGCGCACTTCATGGACTTGGGTGTGAGATTGCGGGGCTTGTGAGGTGCGGCCGGGTCTGAAGAGGCCGGTCATGGCCGAGGCAGCTGCAAAGGCTGGCGCTAGAACAGCATCAGCAACGTCAGAGGCGGAAATTGAGGTTGTGTGTGAGCTGCTGGAGGTAGCCTTTCACCTCATTACCTACGTTCGCAATCTCTATCCTGCGCGTGCGTTGAATAAAGAGCCTGGACCGCACGGGGGAATTGTGCCCGTCGTCCTGCTTTTGCTTTCCTCAAGGGGTTTCGCCAAATGCTGTTGTGGTTGTCACTGCTTGCTTCTTGATAGATGTCTACGAACGCTGTCTCAAATGGGGCGTACCCGTGCCGGTAAGACCGGCAACCCACCCCACCAAGAACTGCCGCGCGCCTGTGCACATCACTCTTGGCCTATTTGCCGTGCAGTGCATGACCTGTGCTGACTCGCCTCTGAATTTTGTTCCGTCGAAACAGAAAGCCCGTCATCCCGACGTGGTCTCTTACTTTCAGTCTGTCCTCGCTGCATCTAAACCCTGGTTCTTGCAACGCACAGCCCGCTCCATCGCCATGCATATCCTTGACTCGGTCAGTTGCCTCTAGTCTTTGCAGATCAACGTCCATGACCATCAGCTGTTGATCGGGTGCAAAGCGTCGCTGAAACTCACTTGCTTTCCCCCGCCAGGCTCATCAGCCAGTGGAACGTTTTGTATTTGATGTTGGCGCATTGGCGTACGTGCAATTCCGCCACCCGCGTTTATTTTCCGATCCTGCGCCTCCTTTTGACTGGTCATGCGCGCCTTGGCGCACCACACCTCTTTTGATCCAGGCAATCTCAAGCCCAAAGCTATGCGGGGCAACCAGAGGCCTTGCTTCGAGCCGTGTTGCTGAAAATCAATACTTGTGATGCGGCCTTGGCTCCGTTACCAGATGGATGTACCTTTGCCATCTATGTTCTCACCACTCCTGAAGTGGAACAACGCTCTTCTCAGGTCAGTCTAGCTCAACCAGAGCTCAGCTCGACGCTGCGTTGGCTCAACTCGAGGTACTCCACTCACTCCATTCTGAACTTGTACCACCCACGACCGTCTTGTCTCGGGCTTCTTGAAAGCAGGATTTGACCATGCCTTGGCTGAGTGCAACGCCGTTGGAGATGCGTCTGAGTAGCGACGACGATAGCACGCCAGCCTCGGTGGCTCATCCTATCAAAACTATTCAGCTTGGTGGTACAGAATTAGCAGTCTACGTCGAAGAGAGCGCTGTTCGCAAGCAAGCCACCGCCACCAGAAATGCTGCGACCCTTGAGAGTACATGAAGCTCTTCGAGCCTCTGTTGCCAGTCATTTGAGACACCCAGCTTTTTGCCGCAGGACTCAGTCTGTGACCATTTATATTAATTTATCCTAGTGAACCTGATCATCAAGACGTCTCTCGACCATTTTGATTGCAATTGAACGTGTGGCGATTGAATGTTGCACCGCGAGCCTCAATTTGGGCCCCCCAGAAGGACTTCAGCATGGCTTCAGACGGCGAAACAAGATGACAACCATTGATAAGCAGCCTACAAGCCAGAGCGGAGTGCCTCATCGCTCATGTTCATCATCAACTCAGGATACGTGGTGACAACGTAGTCCTGAGCGTAGGCGGCCTCTCGGTGCTGCAGCAGTTGCTGAATCTCGCCGGGCACCGAAGCGCAATCGATTGCCTGACAAAGAGGGCAATAGTGCGAGCAACAGCGCAAAAAAATCATAAAAAATAAAAATGAGTCGGTGCATATCACACGAAACATCTCTGGCCGAGGTTAGCAGGAAAAAACAAACCTTCTGGTAGTACTCGACAGCTTTCTTGCCGTTTTGCTTCTGCATCTCGAGCTCAGCCAAGCGAGCATATGCCTACAAATTAGTGAGACAATTTATTTTAGAAAAAAAAAGAAGGATGAGTTGGCCCACGACGTTGGCGGTTCCTGCGCTCGGCGACCCTCGCCGCCTGATATGTCGATCAAAGCTGTCGTACCGCCTCGCAAAGGGGATCGATCTTGAGCGCCTGTTCAATCAGCTCCTGCCCCTCGCGCAATTTGCCCTGCTGAATCAGCACCATGCCCTAAACCAGCGAGCAGCGAGCAGCGAGCAATCATGCATAACCACAATGATGAGGACAAGGTCAGCCAGGGTATGTATGCAGCAAGATGTGAGTTGGAGCCAGATATGTACCTTGTTGACAATGGCATTAGGGCTATCCGGATCCACGGTGAGGGCCTGGTCAAATGCTTGCTCAGCAGCCGCGAGCTGGCCAAGGTTCATCAACACCTGACAGAATGAAAAGAACACAAGTTGCCCGAAAGTACACGAAGCATTGAAGAATGAGAAAAGACATGCACCAGCTTGAGATGGTGTCGAGCAAAAGCCACAGCGCTAGGCTGCCCATGACAGGATTTATCGATAAAATAAATGTCAATGGTACACACACCTCGCCCTTGAACTGGTGCATGATTGCTACATCGGAGAACTTTTCCAGGGCGCTGTCCAAAAGCTGACCCGCCGCGGCTGGGTCAGTCTGCAATGCCTTGAGCACGACGTGAATGTAGGGGATGTACGAGCTGTAACAGGAAACAGAACGAGGTGAGCTCCGTCATGTCAGTCCTGCCATAGCTGCGACAAACGAATACGGACAACCAGACACGCACGTGTTCTTCTCCATCGCAATGGCCTTTTCAAAGTCGGCAAAGGCTTCAGCTTGGCGGCCTGTTTGTGCGTGAACCTGCAAGCCAGCACAAGATGCTTGAGCAAGACATTGCATTGTCGTCGCCACGCGGACATATGTGGGGCCATGTCAAGATTGAATAGTCATGTCATGAATACCTGGCCGCGGCAAATGAAAGCAAAGGGATTGCCAGTGGCAACAGCCTTCTCAGCATCGGCGATGGCTTCGGGGGCGCGACCCTTCTCCAAAAGCACGGTGGCACGACGGATCAGAACAAACACGTTGTTGGATGTGATCTCGTGGGCGGTATTCAGCAACTCCAAGGCCTGCCAGGCGAACCGATTGGAGGCGCAAGGTCACATTGGAGGTGAGCACGAGTGTGCGTTGAGAGGTGGTTGGTCGTGTCAGCGTTGAACAAATACCTCGTCGTTGCAGTTGGACAGCATCTTGAAAGACGAGAGATACGTCAGGGCCAGGGTATACATGAGTCGAGTAATGTCTGTTTGCTCTGCGTCTGTGATCCAAGTCACGAGAGTGTGAGAGTGCGTGGGAGTTGGCAAAGAGTCACGAGTCTTCAGCTGTGCGCGTGATTCAGCCCAAGATGCGTGTATGTGCGTGCCATTTGCCGTACCACGCAGAGTGTCGACAACTTGCTGGTAAGCACGCATGGCCTCTTCGTACTTCTTGTCCTTGACGAGGCGCTGCAAGGATACATGAATCACCATCATGAAGGAAGGAGCATGAGAAGATAGATAGCAATGCAAGGGCTTGAGCATGGCAGGGCAATGACATACGTGAGCCAGGCGCATGCGTGTCGAAATCTTTGCATCTGGCTTGTCCTGCTCCTGCAGCAGCTTCTCCAGCTCTTCGACGGTCGCTGACTCGCGCGGGGGGCGACCAAAGGAGTCAAAGTGTGTCTCGATGCTGGTACGAGCGGGAAGTCGCTTGGGACGGTTCTTCATAATCTTCGGCAGCTCCATCATGCACAGCGTGTTGAGAACGCGCTCCATGGCTTGTTGAGTGGCCTCGTTGCTGAAGCGCTCGATCCAGAGAAGAGCGGAAAAATCAAACATGGCCTCACGCGGCTTGCCCATGTACTCGTAGGCCTGTGCACGGCGGTTTAGAGCCTATAGTGTCAAGCACGTCGACGCGAGCCCATCGACCATGGTCAAAGCGCACGAAGAAAGCATCGGTTTCACAGAAGAAGAAAAAAAGTAAGCAAGCCATGGACAAACGACAACCGCGACATGGTTCTATCCTCCTACTTTGGCATAGCGTGGGTCGATTTTGAGAGCGCGGGTGCAATCGGCCTCGACGCGCTCGTATTGTTTCTGTGCAGATATTAACCAGAAAATCCAGAAATTAGGGCCATCGGGAAGTACAGATCAAAAGTTGAAAATAGTAATATGAAACGAGGATCCTCCTCATTGCGCCTGGTGGGCCAGACCAATGGATTTGAATCGCCCGGACGCACCAAGTTCAAGTAAGCAGCGGCGCGGTTGCAGTAAAGGGCGGCAGCTTCCTTGTCATCACTGGCGATGAGCTTGAGGCCCTTGGAGTAAGCGGACACGGCATCGCTCCATTTCTTGTTCTTGTACGCGGCGTTGCCTTCCTTCTTGGCAGCGAGGGCAGCTTGCCGGGCCTCCTACATTGCCACCAAAAAGTCAAAAATTGAGGACCCCGCTGTTTGACTGGGCGCATGCAACGCTGTGTTGAGTCGTGGGCCGAGATGGCTTTAAGGTGTGTACGCACAGCAGCTTTATCCTCGGGGGATTGACGAGCCACTTCCTCGGGCTTGACTGCCGGCGCCGGCTCGGAAGTTTGCCTAAGAGGAGGCATTTGAGTCAGATGGGTACGCTAACCGATGCTCGGCCACATTGCACTGTGGCGAGTCAAGGCGTTGCCTGGTGTTTGTTTCAGAGGGCGTGTGCGTGCGCGAGCTTCGAGGCGTACATGGAGTCGTGGGGGACAGCAGCGGCCACCTGGGAACCGTCGTGTGTGGCCGTGCGCGTCACGGCATAGTAAACACCACCAGCCACTGCAGTGGCAGCGGCGGCACCGACCGCGTACTTGGCCCATTGAGGCAGCTCCTCAAACGTTTGGCGCGCCGAGGCCACGAGCGAAGTGGCACTGGCCGACCCTGTAGAAGAAGAAGACTCGGCCATCCTGATAGTCTAAAGTGTGCCGCTTTGCAATCCTTAGAACTGAGAACAAAGTACACCCGTAATCACACACGAGAATGAGAGGGACCTTGGGTTACTGCCACAGGTCTGGCACCTCGACGCCCTTCTGCCCACACCCTCGCAAAGACTTGTTCGTGTGTTGGCAGGGGGCAAGGACGAAGCATCAAGGCCAGAGGGCAACCAGGCGACGCAGCCAGTGACGCAGCGGTACATCCACCAAATCAGCAAGCCTATGTATAAGTGCCCTGCCCCATTTCCATACTGCCTCGCTTGCCTTTGCCCAAGAGCCGCAGCCGATATCCCGTCTGTAGTCCGGTGCCCGCTGCCAGTGTCGCCAAAGCCATCAGACGACGCACGGACTGGCCATGTGACCTTTTGCTGTTCTTCTACCTTGTGTGCTTCTGCAACTGCAAGTCTGTGTGTGTCGGGCTTGTCAGACGGTGCTACTAAATGTTATTCTCGCTGGCGCCACGGTGCAAGACCTCTGCAACAAGCAGAAGGAACCGAGAGCAATGAATGAACCGTCTGACAAAATGGGAGACTGGGAGACTGGTGGATACTGATGGATACTCATTCGAATGAGTTTTTTTTTTTTTTCGGTGACGAGCTGAGCTCGGGTGGATCGCGCCTCAAAGAATCATTGGGTGACAGTCTTCCCGGCAGTGTCTATCCTTTTGGGGTTGGCGCGCCAGTAGCTGTGCCTTTTTTTTTGGTATCCTTTGCCTTTTTTTTTTTTTTTGCATACCTCTTATTGGCCAGGCTGCATCATGGCTCAAGCAGAGAATAGCGATGAGTTGCAGTTTGAAGAGGGTGCGTCACGCGAACATGCTCACACCGCCTGGCAGAGGACAGACAACTTGATTTTGCCTACAGTTGCACCAGCTCTGGCACCTGACGACGCTGCCCGGTGTATGGCACAATCTCATAGGGCATAATCGCATGATTCTTCATTTGCCCGAGGTCAAGATGATTCTTGAAAACATTATTTCAGAACGCCGGCAACAGGTGGCGCCACAACTTCAAAAAACGTTTGACTATGCTAGCCGGTTTGCCAGCTATCGCGCTGATGCCTATCAGACCAAAGAGGGTCAAACCTCTTCATTGGTCCGCGGGTGCGTAAGCGCGTGCACACGTCCCCGTCTTCTGTGTGCACGTCCCTTCTTTCCTCCCTTCAGTGATGCGCTCTCTCGCTTTCTTGCTTCCATGTCCCTCTGTGAGACATCGATTCACTTTGAACCTGTCCTTCGACGTGAGCTCGAAATCCTCATGATGTTGGACCGCCGTGCTCTCTCTTCAGCATCATCGATAGCCGCGAAGGCCTTCATGATTTTGAGCGGATGCAGCTCGCCAATCTGTGCCCGCAGAGCGTTGAAGAAGCTCGCTCCCTCATACCGAGGTATGTTCACTGTGTCTGACATCTTGGGTTCGTTGCTCCGTGCCGGTCTGATGATGCTCTGTCGTTCGGCTCTGCCGCAGCCTGACGGACGACAAGATTGACGAACATGAACTGCAAACCTTGCTTGATGAGCTGATGAACAACCGTAATTTCAATCAGTAAAGGTGTAATGTGTCACCGGTCCCGAGCAGGCGTGCAGACGAGCGTTACCTGTGTGCATGTTCTTGTGCATGTACCATGTCGAGCTGGTATCTGTCTGTCACTCTTGGTGCTTGGTGCGCCGGGTTCCAGACCTTGTGTTCTACCGTGTGCGGTCTGTGTTGTAGAAGAGTTATGAATTGATAAGCTGTATGCCTGTTGCTCCCGTCTCGACTTGATTGCCTCCGGAGCGTTGTGTGAGAGAGAGTGAGTGGGGAAGTGGTCGTTGCAGCCACCCTCTCGCTGACCCCGTGTTCAAGTGCGAATTATAATGTTTTCATGTCAAAGTTTATTACTCGCACGTTGAGCTTATGATTTACGTTACGAGCAAGTGTTTATGATTGTAATGTCGAAACATCACATCGTGTGGCGTTCACATCCGGCACCTCCTTCGACAGAGACAACTGATACGCTTGTTGCTCATTCCGGCACCCCAAGGAGAGGAAGGTTTACAGGAACACGAGTCAGCATTTCCTAATATTATGTAAATTGACATCTCAATTCGAGTCTCCGCCGAAATGAACAAAAAATTAACGAAAAATACATCAAAAACCAAAACTGGGAAAAGAACACAATCGTATGCTGCACATCCTACTCCATCTGGGGTAGGCGCGGGGCATCGCCCAGACGGCACGCGTGAAGCAGGGCGAGCAAGGAAGAAGAAAACAAACGTTGCCCCGGCGTGCGAGGCGTATCCAGGCTCAAGCCATTAAGGTGGCAGCATGCCCCTGCGAACGAACGAACGAACGAACAAAAAGACGCACATATGCACGTATGAGCAACGAGACCGGGGGCGCAGCGAACAAGCTGACATGTCAACGCTGAGACAGGTTAGAAAGCGTACAGCATGGTCGCGCTGGTGTGACGCAGAGGCAACACCGGCTGCCTGCTCGTATGGCAAGCCATCCTCCACGTCCAATTCGGCCAGCTCAAGCCCACGGCGTTTCGCATACTGGGCTTGCTGCTGAGAAGTCGGCCTGCATGCAAGCAAGCTATGAGGATGACAAGGAAAACGGGGCGCTCAACTACATGTGGACAAAGCACGTGCACGCTTAGCACATACGGGGGCGAGGAAAGGTCCTTGTTGTCCAGAGTCTGACCACCTCGACGCTGGCCCAAACGGCAGGCCATACAGCAGACAAGGAGGAGAAGCGTGGCTACGACGGCAGCGCTGGCGATGGTCACATCGTTCCATTCCAATCCCAGAAAGGCATTTCGAGTCGCACGAGCACTGTCAGTTTCGGCATTAGGCCCAGTACCTGGTGCGCCAGTGCTCACAGGACTTTCAGCATCGCGCACTGTCATCGCCCGAGCCTCAAGCGTGTGTGTACCCAAGGCAACGGGGAGCACGAGACCATACTCATTTAGGCGCGATGCGGCCTGAACGGCGGCAACACTGGTGGTGAAACCGTACACGTCGATTGTGAGGTCTATGCCCCCCGTGGTCGGACCACCAGCGGCGACGGGAACATTGCTATTGCCGGAAATCAATCGAGTCGGCACAATGTTTTCCAGAGATACACCCAAGTTGTTGGCAACAATCTGGCGCACGACGCTGGTCCAGCTGGTCGACCACTCGCTCATGTCCATGTCCAGGAACACCAGAGATAGGCGTACTACAAAGTTGGCCGGCACCACAGGGGGCGCCGAGGGCCCGGCGGGGATGGGTGTGGTGGAGGTAGCGACCGAGCTGGTACTGTCTTGGGGGATGGTCTCGGCGTCCTCACACGCACAGATCGGACATCCATATCGATCAAGGCGGCCAACCGTCGTCTGTCCTCGGCCACACTCACAAGGGACGTACACACAGGTGTGGGCAGTGGTGCTGCTCACTGATTGAGTAGTAGATGCAGGCAACATCGAAGCCGAAGCAGTTATTGTTGCCGGAGAGCCGGGCACGGTGGTAATGAGCGCTGCGTCCCCTGACCCTGAGCCGTCGTCATAGTCATCCAGCTCAGAGCTGGCGAGGGCCGTGCAGAGCGTCGTGCATAGGCAAACAGCAACAAACAGCCAAACCCGTCCGGGGTTCGTGCCAGCGCGGCGTGCCAAGGCAACCGGCATGGTTCTCTGGGTGTGGCGCTGATGCAGGGATGAAGGAGCCAGGATCGGGAAGAAGAAAGGCAGGCAGCGCTCAGACGGGCAGTCGGGCGCTCATCCGTCGGCGACTGGCTCTTGACACCAAAGTCTGTTGCTCTTGAACAGACGGGCGTTAGAGAAAAGTGGGACGAGCCATCGCGCATACAGCCCACGCGCACACGCCTTTGTGAGTAGCATTTCTTTTTTTGCCAATCCGGCGCAAGTGACCGATGGCATGGGTTTGGACCTGGTTGCTGGGGCGGCGAAGGTTTGCTTGCCCTCTGTGTCGCGCCCCATTCCAAACTTACGGGCGATGGTCACCGAGCTCTCTGATGATTCCAAGCCTGCATGCATGGTTTCTGAGAAAGGGTTTCCGGGCCCACGGACACAAAGTAAAATACTTTTTTGTTTCCCACACACGCTCAAAGGCTGCATCGTTGTCGCTGCCAGACGCAAGATGGCGGGGGGAGGTTGCTTTTGGTGGGATGCCGTTGGATAAAAGGGAAAATGCAGGGTTCTCTTGTCAATTCAAACTACAAGCATGCTTGTACACAGGTGCAAAGTGGGCATAAAATACAGCTTGTCGCGTGCGAGCAAAAGACGGAGCGAGAGAGAGAGAGAGAACGAGAGAGGCCTTTGGGAAGAGAGAGGTCTGGGGATTTAAAGAGAGTTGGAGAGAAAAAGGGAGAGTTAGGGAGAGTAAAGGGGTGTGCGAGAGAGGTGGCCGGTCGCTTCAACGCCTAGAGTGCCCAGCCCCAGTGTTCATGTCCGTTTGGCTCTCATTTCAGATGCGTGGTCGTCGGCGACAGCATCCGTATCATGCCGTCATCGTTTGCAGCACCACCACCAGTGAGCAAGTTAAAGGTACAGGGGCCTTTGCTCAGCTTGCCACCGATGCCGGCTCTGTGACGAGTGTGAAGCCAATGATCCAGAAGCACAGAAACGTGGCCAGGGCCTGCATGAGTCCTTCAGTGAGAAATTGGTTGGCCGTGATGTTGAGCGACTCGAGCCGTTCCTTATGTCCCAACAACACTTGCGGCATGCCAACGGCAGTTGCAAAAAAAACCAAAAATCCACCGTAGCCCTCTAGAGGCAGAAAGCCACACACGGCACCCAGCACCAAGCCGATAGCCTGCCGCAGCCAAAACACCCGGTCCAGGTGCTGTTCCCGTGCTGACTCCATCAAGACGATTTCCAATAATAAAAAAAAAAAATCAAGCAAGACAAAAAGAAGGAGAAGACTCACTCACACAACAGCCAGTCAGTAAGCTTGAAAGAGCAGAGCATGAGGCATCTGACAATTTGTCAAAAGCAACAGAAAAAAAAAAAGGTGCTCACAGCATCAAATATTAGCAGGGTGTTCCGGTGTCGAGCGACCCGCGCCCTCGCGTCGACCCCGTATCATGGCTGATGAGGACATACAAGCGGTTCACCGGGTGAGTTTTTATCCACGGAATAGTTTGTCGGGGGGCGGCGTTGGGCTATTTGGGTTATTGCCTTGGGAGAGTTGACTCATCTCGCCAAACACACAGGAGGAAGTGGATGCCTTACTCGCCATCTTCCCCGAGGATGTCGAGGCCATAGGCGAGAGTATTGTTTTGGACATTCGGCGGGACTGCCAGCTACAAGTACACCTCCACGCTGAATATCCAGCCAGGTGTGCCCCGGACCGATTCTTGCGGCTGTGCCAGCTCGGCCCGTGTGTGCACTTGCGCGGCTCTTGCTCATTGTCGATGCTTGCGGCTCACACTGTCAGTCGAGCACCAGACTATGAACTGAGCGCCAACTGGCTACATCATCCTCACGGACCCGGGTTGCACGACCTACTCACCTCTACTTTTGTACCCGTACGAAATCGGTGGTTGCGAACCGTCGTGCGCTTGCTCGCTGCCAAGCACGGCGAGCGCACGCGTGTCAACTCACGCTGTTCGGTGCATGGTGCATGTAGGGCAACCCCGTTCTCTTTGAGTGGATTGAAGTACTTCGCGAGTACTTGGAGGACCACTGCCCTCTTGACGAGCTGGATGGCGAGGTGAGGAGCGCACACGGGGTGCTGAGATGATGACGCCATCGCGTGCTGTGACATCCTCTCATCCCTGTTTGCTTTTGGACGGGAGACCGAGCAGACAACCACCACCACCACCAGCAGCTTGCTACCTGGGCAAGCGGAGCCAGAGCTGGCAAGCGTTCCCGAGGTCAGCTTGGTGGCGCACCATAATGGCGTAGAGTCGACGAGTGGTGCCGTGTTGAGGACATTCCTTACGCTTGACACATCCTCATGGCACACATGTAGGTCAAACCAAAAAAGGTACTGCCACCTCCACCGGAGACACATACGGGGGATCCCATCTTGGATCGCAAGTCCAGCTTCCAAGTAAGTCTACTTGTCACACAAAATGATTGCAGCTAGACGTTGCCAGCTGCTTCCTGCTCTCTCACAGGCGCACCATTCATGCCTTGCCTTGAACGAAGGGTCACGTGGCTGAGGTGCATTCTCTTTTGGAAATCAAGAGCTTTCGCAAGGCTTTGCTAGCCAATGGCAAGATTGCACGCGCCACCCACAACATGCTTGCGTATCGCATCTGGCACGAGCCAACGCAAGGCTATCTTCAGGACTATGATGATGATGGAGAACATGGTGCAGGGTCGCGCATGCTGCATCTGCTTCAGGTTTGTGAAGTGTATCTTGTTTTTGTTTGCGTTGCGTGCGTGTGTCCTTATGGGACGGGACCATCGACTTCACACTCCCCATGCCCGAACCGGGCTGGGTTGCAGATCATGGACGTCAAGAACGTTGTTGTCATGGTCAGCCGCTGGTATGGAGGCATCCACCTTGGACCAGATCGATTCAAGCACATCAACAATGTAACCCGGTACGTGTCGCCCATCCAGAATCGCTTCTTGTGCACCCAGACGTTTGCTGCATGGGCACATACTCGGCACGCTGCTGTGCATCTACCGTGGTTCATTTCTGGTCTGCTTGACACGGTTTTCAATGGGAATGACGGACGTTTCAGGGGTGTGCTCACCCAGTTCAATTTCGCAGACGAAACAGGTGGGTGCAATTGGAAGAGATCCCCTCAGGGGAAAGAAAGCGGCGTGTGTGTGTGTGTGTGTGTGTGTGTGTGTGTGTGTGTGTGTGTGTGTGTGTGTGTGTGTGTGTGTGTGTGTGTGTGTGTGTGTGTGGAAGGCACGCGTGCACGACGAGCAGGTACTGGCTGAAACGTTTGCTTGCACTTGCTCAAACCGGATTTGCGGGACCTCGCCATGCTCATCATCAACGTAGGCGGCAAGGGAAAGAAGAAGCGCTGAAACATTATTACCGACCCCAGCGTCAAGTGCCAGGTCCATACAAGCCCTCGCGCTGCTCATGCTTCGGGGCCATAAACATCCGACGTACGGACACCTTGTAGTTGAAAGCCGGGGTCCAGCTTCTGGCCTGTAAGTTAGCAAAGCACGATAAGATCCAATTATCTGGTAAGTCGGGGTTCAGATGGAGGCTTTGAGGGTCATCTCACCTTGAACCTGATGCAACAAGGTGACCTTGTCTTTGAGATGGTCGCGTGTCATCTGTCTCTGGGTCTCCAGCTCCTGGCTACCTGCACGTTGAACGTGCCCACAGCATGCCACCAATCAATCGACAAACCACAATTTCATTGAGTTCTTATTCTCACGAGCTGCGACCGATCGTCACGCAAGGAGAATGGCCAGGCTTCGCCAAGGGACCGGAGAGCGAGCAGAGAGCACGGGGAAGCAGAATGCAACGATGAAGTTGCTGGCCGAGGAGGCAAGCAGAAAAAGAATCGTACTTTGCGCAAGTTGAGTCAGAACCTCTTCACGGGGCATCCGAATGAACAAGGGACCCACGCTTGTCCAGGGGTGGTGTTCTAAGGCACCGTCAGAGGGGTTGAGGCTGAGTATCAAGAAGACAGGCAAAATGGGGCAGGCAGACGCCGTTTGAGAAGCCAGAATTTGGAGTAGCAGCAGTCACACCTTTGACACCGGCGCCACGCTTCAGCTCGCGCATGGCCTCGCGCTCTTGGTGTAGTCGTCGATCCAACTCTTGCAGCTAGCGCGCGCGTTTGTGTGGGAACAGAAACAGGTGACGGCATGAGTGACCATGCGGCATCTCGGCGCCCTGACGTCAGCGTACCATGCTTCAGCAAACGCAAGCCTACATCATGTCGTAGCGAAAACGTTTCTTCTGCCAGCTGTTCTACCCGGGCAATGCCCTCAACCATCTGCTGTGCGTCCTGCGATGCCATTCTCGATGGTGCTGCTCCCTGTCCTCCTCCGCCACGCACTCGCCACACAAAGTTCAGAGTGCGAAATCAGTGAGATGAATCAAGTCAAACTCATTTCTCACTGCGTTCGCAACACCAAGCTTTATGACCGTTATTTTATTTTGGTGGCGCGGCGTTGTCGATGGATGGATGGATGGATGGATGCGTGTGCATATGTGCGTGGGTGAATGAGCCGTCGCAGTCGCCTGGCGCAAATGATGGGGTTGAGATGTTCAGGGCTGGTGGATAAGGGGGGCGTCAAAAGCGCTGCTTTCTGAGTCTTGGTAGGTGTTCATGACTTCTTCAGGCTGCGCACGACGTTGTCATGGCACGCCGCTCACACGCTGCAGCTGCGGGTGTTGGCCTCTCCAGCGAGCCTTTGGGACCGCCGGCTAAGCGTGTTGCGCGCACCGATGAGAATCAACAATGCCGCACGGCACTACTGTGGGCCTCACCGCAGCGCCACAGCCAGCATCAGAGGCACTCGTCAGGAATACGCGAGTCGGAAGCCAGCACCAAGAATGCGGAGGCATTGCGTGGGCGACCCAGCGCCGAGGCATTGCGTGGGCGACCCAGCGCCGAGTTGTTGTGTGTGCGGCCAAGTCTACAACATCTGCTGGGCTCCCTCAGTCCAGCTGCCAGCCGGATTGGCTTGGGTCAAGATGGTAGTGGTCGCGGCGTGCACGTCCTGCGCGGGAGTGAGACGCCAACACGCCGCACCGTGGCTCGTGGTGAATCCTTCGAGCGTCTGGCCTCCTTCTCTCAGCAACGTTCAAATATCAAGTTACAACAAACGCCCTCACTGTCGCTAGGCGTGGCTCATTCAACCGGCGAAACCGCAGACGAAGAGGAAGAGGCCATGCTGCGAGACTCTAATATCCCCTTTGATGACTTGAATCTTGAGCCAGACCTGTTGCAAGGTGGAACGGAGAACGACGACTCGGACCTTGATTCCCATGCTGGCAAGGCGGGCCCCATCAGTCCACGTCGGCGCCTAGCACAACCAGGCGGACCACCCACAGGCTCTTCCTTTTCGCTCTCAACCTACCTCCGCTATCGTGAGCGCCAAAGCACGACAGCACATCAAGCCAGTAGCAGCACCCCGCCAGGACAGCCTGTTCGTCGTCCCTCTCAAGTTCTACCGCGCGGCTTTCATCAGCGCCCCAAGCTACTGTTTTATGTCTTCCAGTAACAATCCACTCTATTATGATATTACCATTTTCACCCTCATCAGCCGCGCGCGTAACCAGATGGCCCGCTTCTAGTGCAAGTGGTATGTCATCAAGTATGAAGGTTTGAAGGGTGGGGGCCTGCGAAGTAACTGGGAAGCTATGCAATTGCATGAATATCTGCTTCATTCCGTCTTCAAGAATTCAATTAAGTCAGGGTGTTGACACAGTCAACGTGGGAGGGAAGAATATCAACCAGCGCGCTCAGCGCTGCTGTCTCCCAAAGCACACAAAAGAATAAGGGCGGCAACCAACGTTCTGTCTTGCCGAGGCGCATATGCAGTGGCCGGGCTCATGTCCTCTCGACAAAGCTGGCCAGGCAACAAAATACAAAACATCAAAGTCAACGAAACAACAAAAATGAAATGAGCCACAAATAAAAGACAATCAGTCACTCCCTCTGGGAAATCCGGGGGCTGAGCCCCTAGTGAAGAAAATAACAACAAAGCAACCGGGAGCTAGTCACGGTTGATCAGGATGGCGCCAAAGTCAGCCACCAAAGCTGGCAGTTCAGGAAATTGACGCATTGTCGTGTCGAGGTCCTTGGCCACGGCTGCTACGCCCTCCATCACATCGACCCCTTCATGCTTTAGATAGCGTTGTGCGGCGCGTCGTTGGAGGAAAAAGGTTTGCTCCGCATGACTGAGCATGTGCCACTCGGTGACTGCACCCAGGCGATCCAGGAGGTCGCGACGACGCCCCTTGTGAAGTTCGCCACGGCGGCGCTTTTGCACGATCTTGTTCCGCTTGGCACGGCACTGTTCCAAGCTCGACTCTGCACCATGGTGCAGAAAGCGCAAGGCGTCGAGACTGCGAATGGTTGCTCGCGCCTCATGGCGCTCCACATCGGTTTGGCCCACCGTGTCCTGCAGCACACTGGCCAGCGGGCGGAAAGTGTCCTGCAGGGCACGGGCGCGCGACGATTTCGCCTGTTCTCGCTGTGCTGCCAGCTGGACTTTGTAATCCAACTCCTCAGGAGTTAAGTCCACCAACCCGTGGGCATAGGCGGAAAGGGTAGCAGCCAGACCAGCACCGGCGACGTGGCCCAGCTGAGCATGTGCCGTCATGATCCAACCCAGGTCAAGATGAAGACCTGCTTGCACAAAGTGCTCGGTGACGTGGTGCAGGCGTTGGATAAACTGATCTTCATAGAGATGAATGAGGCGGGCAGCCTCGTGGGCAGAGGTTGGAGCAGCAGAGACATCCAGAGACGGTAGCTCATCGAGGTCAAGATTGAGGTTGAAAAGGCCCTTAAGCTTGATGCTGGCCACCTGCACGTCGGCGCGGATGGGCTTGGCCGTGAGGCGATTCAAAGGAGCACACGTGTAAGCGCGGGCCACCTTCTGAGCTTGCGCCGAGGTGAGGCGAGCCACGACACGTTGATCTCCCAGCGCACATTGCAGATCATGCACGCGAACGGCGAAGCCACTGAGGATATGCGCCATATGGTGGGCAGCATCTGCGTGGCAATGGCACACCTCGGCAGTTGGTGTGCTGGCGGCCGTGGGCATGGCGTCATCGTGATCAGCGCCCTGCTCCATCGTGGGCATATCGGAAGCGGCAGCGCAGGAGTGTGGTGCTGCGTCGACATCCTGGTGGTGGTCCATCGGTTCACTAGTATCGGCTGAGGGTTCGGCAGCAACCACGGTACCGTCCGTGAGGGAGCGTTCCATGCCAAGATGAACCTCCTGTGTGGCTACGAGCGTGTCAATGTCGTTGGCCGACATGGCCTTGTCGGCCAGAGGCGAAGGCATGGTCTCATTGGGGTCGAGAGTTGGGGCGGCGCCCCACGAGTAGACGGGGTGGCTCGAGGCTGACGAGCGCATGGTGGCGGAGAGGGCGCTAAGACGGCTGTGGTGGAAGGCGCATGTTTCCTCGCGAGCGGCGGCCAGAAAGCGAATGAGGTGCAGCTTGACCAGGCCCGAGAAGTCGTGGTAAAGCAGTTGGACCAGGGCGTGAGCACCGACAAGCTGAAGCAGATGCTGCAGCTTGCTGCGCGAAGTGCTGCCGGCAAAGGCGGCCCATTGTTGGGCAGCCAGCTGAGCGCTGACAGTGGCAGCACCTGGGGGTGCAGCCGTCGGGGGCACGGCTGCGATAAATTGCAGGTAAAGGGCGCAGGGGTGAATCTCAGCTCGTCCCCAAGCGGAGAAGAAGAGAAGCTCCTCGGGGGAGGGGGGCTCGGTTCCAAGCTGGTCGCGGAGGACTCCATCAACCAAGGCCTGTCGCTGGGGCATGTCGCAGGTGGTGGCAGCGAGCTGCTCAAAGACCGGGGTCATGATCTCGACGACGGTGTCCATGACGTCGCCAATGCGGCGACGCTTGAGGAGTGACTTGTACGCGGGGTGGGCACGGCAGCGACGCAAGAGGTCCATGTTGCCACGGCAAACTTGCTGGAGCTTGGTGCGAACCAAGGCCAGCTTGGTCTGTCGCGCCGTTTCCAGCTGGAGGACGTGTTTGACCATGGTCTGGGCACACTCGTCGGTGTGGGAAGAGCGTTCGAGGGGCTGCATGATGTAGCTTGTGAGTTCGGGGTAGACTTCGGCGACTGAAGTGTCGACGGCGGCGTGGGGAGTGATCCAGCAGGTGGGAAGCCCGGCGTCAGCGAGGAGGTGATGCAAGTGAATGGCGCGTTGCTCAAAGCAGAGCGCGGAGAAGAGCTCAACGACGAGGATGTCGGCCTGGAGCTCAGTGATGAGGCGGGTAGAGTTGACGGGGCGGCTGCAAAACTGCAGGCAACGTTGGAAAATTCGGCGCCAGAGCGGGTTGGGCTTGCGCCAGTCTGAGAAGGCTGAGGCTTCGAGGTCAGCGTGGCGCTGGGCCAGCTCATCCAGATCAATGCCATAGGTTGAGCACGAGCGCAAAAGGCAGACACGTTTCATGGCTTGCAAGTCAAGCAAGGCTTGTTCGTAGCCATGCACAGCGGCGACGCGGTCAGCAACGACGGCGCTATTCGTCTCATCGGCCTGTGACAGCGGGATGGGGCTGCGGGAGGCAATGGTGTGGGCGACGGCTGGTGCGAAAAAGTAGCGCTGGCTGCCATGACCACCAATGGTGTGCAGCTGGTGGGTGGCCTCGAGGTCGCGAACGTCGCTCTCGGAGAGGGCAAACATGTGACGCACGCGCGTTTCAGAGAGCAGGAAGTGACTCAGACAATCGTTGCAGAGTCGGAGATCGTGCATACCGAGGGCCAGGTTGGCGGTGGGGGCCCAGCATAGGGAGCAGCAACTGGCTTGCGGGGCACGGGCAATGTATACTTCAGCAGCAAGCGCCAAAGCAGGCACATGCTGCACGTTGGCCTGAGTGTGAGCAGCCTGGGTATCGAGGAGCACACTACAGGCTGGGTACTGTTGGGCAAGGTTCAGCAGCGCTGCAAAGCCATCCTGCAGACACCAGCGAAAGCCCTCGCCTTGGGGTGCGGGGTTGGCAGGGTCACGGGCTTCGGCTGGGGGGGCATGCGCCAAGGCATCGTTCCAAAGCTATCATGGTTCGTCAAGGGGGAAGGGGCGACACGAAAAGCTCGTGAGAACGCGGACGCGAGGGGGTTGAAGGCGGAGCCGGCACGGGCGGGTTGGGAGCACATGAACCGACCTGTTTCGTGACAAGGTGGTGACGCAGAAGGGGATGGGACTGCGCGATGTGGTGGAGGGCAGCCTCGAGGCGTTGAGGGTGATTTACGGCATCCGCCGGTTGCTGGCTCAGGCCACGAGCAACGACAGCAATCCACAGGTGCTCGCGGCTTGCAAGGTTATAAAGACGGCGGCAGGTGGCACGTACAGCGCATAAGCTTGCCGGGTCACCGGTCAAGTATGCAAGTGTCCGCAATATTAACTAGCGGTCGACAAGGAAATGGAGGTGAGCGCTCTGACAACGACAAGCGGGGTTGTTGGCAGACAGGGGACGGCGCGCGTTGTCAGGATGTGCATGCGCGGGCAAACCTCGTCGGGAAGGGCGAGCAAGTCCATGTTGGACCGTGTGTGCGTGCCTTCCTTGGGGCGAGAGGTGGGACACGGGCTGGGGCTGCCCGGCCGCAACAAACGCGCGCGTGTGTGTGTGCAATGTGTTCAAAACCGGTTGATGAGGAAGCTGCAGGCGGAGAGGGGGCAGGGGATGCAAGTGTATTGGCGTGCGCAAGGGACAGGGTGGCAGCGGCACCGGCAAGAAGAAAATGCGCAAGTGGTGGAAGGGGACAAGGGGTACCGAGGCGCTCGCTGGACGACCAGCTAACCAGAGACCACATGAAAAATTATTGGTGGGAGTCCAATAAGTCGTACTCACAGAGAGAGAGAGAGAGAGAAGAGGAGAGAGATTAAAGACACACACAAAAAGAGAGAGAGAGAGAGAGAGAGACGAAAGCAAAAAGCCTTTGGTGATAGGAGAGAGATAGAAGAAGAAGAAGAAGAAGAAGAAGAAGAAGAAGAAGACATGCAAACACACACAAGTACGCAGTTGTCGGGCACGAGGTGGGGGGACAAAACTGAATGGTTGTGTGTGTATGTGTGTGTGGTGGTGGGTGGTTGTGTTGTTGGGGTCGGTGGTGGGGTTAGCGAGGGCCGGTCAGGGCAGTTGGTTTGGGAGTGTTTTTTTTGTGGCGGTGGCGGTGGCGGTGGCGGCGAATAGGGTTGGTGAGGGACGACGAGCAGGGCGAGTGTTGCATGGATGACATTTGCGTGCATCACATCATGAATGAAAGCGAGAAAGAAAAGGGGTTTGGAACGTAAAGATGAGTGATCTTCAGGGGTGAGCAAGTGGGGGAAGCACACGAAGTCTTGTTGAATGGCAAGTTGGTGTGGCGGTTCGTTCAGCAGTGGTGGTGGCCGCAACATTTGATCAGCAGCAGGAGGTAGCAGTGAGCGATGCGTCAGCCCCAAACATGCCTGGTGGTGTAGTGGCAAGGCCACAACGCAATTCGTAGCCAGACCGTGATGCCATTGGGAGAGCCAAGCCAAGTTGGTTGTGTGTTGTTGTATGGTTGGGACAAGAATCGGGGTGAGGGTTTAAGCATGAAAGTATGATAGTGAACAACATTCGTATGGGGCCAGGGATGGGTTAGGGTTAGGGGAGATGGTTTCGCCACCCCCTTTGGTTGTTGTGTGAGATGGATTGGGTGGCTAGCATGGATCTGGACCAAGGACACGGGACAAGTTCGCGCCCCCAGTTTCGCATCTCACCGACGCTATAAGCCTGCCACACACCTTCATGTCCACATCCTGCCCTTATGGAGAAGTCGCAGGAGGGGGTCATCCTTGAGCTTTCTCTTGAATAAACCCCTTCTCTTGAATAAACCCCTTCTGTTTCTGCCAGCGGTTGGCTCGGGTGTCAATTTTCGCGCGGCTGGCAGAGTACGCTGTGCCGCCTTCTGCGGTCCCTCCATCGATTCATGGAGGGGGGCTGCATGTTAAACTCTCAACCAAGCGTGCAACGGCTGTTTCAAATGTTGAAGAGTCGAGTCGTACCAATTGTGTGGCGCAGCATCGCGTGCCAGACGTGATTTGTGGCACGTGAGTTGCAGGGATGAGTGAGATGTGGACAGGTGTGGACTGTCCCACCCCTTGTCTTCGCCGTTGACAACAGACCACGCGGCGCCGGCGCCATGCCACATGTTTTTCGTGGTGTCACACGCCACATTTGCATGTGTGCAGATCCAAACAACAGCATCATCAGCACTGCATTTGTCACCGCCCAACTGAGGACAACTGAACAAAAGACACAGGGTGATGCAACAAACTAGGGATAGCACCAGATGGGTTTTGTCACGAAGACTACAGACGCAACTGCGCACATCGTTCACCTGAAAACGCTGACAATGGACCATTGCTCGTGTTGGTCGCGACTGTTGCTTGGGAATGCTTGGCAAGTTGGAATTTGCGTTGGGGGTGTCCCCTCTACTTGTTTCTGTTCCACCCTGATGGTCCATCCCCGATTCTGCAGATTTACGGTCACGTGTGGAATTTGGGGCAACTTGAGCCAACCGCGCTCTGCAGTACGCTTGCTGCCTCATTGGCGCGATTCTGCGCATCTTGAACCCCAATCGGGGAAAAGGACAAGGTGCAGGGATGACCGGCCCCCTCTTGGGCCTTGCTTCTGTTGGTTGGGCCGTGTGTGCCCTGGTGAAGTCGCGAACCACCTCGGAGGGGAATGGTGATGACACTTGAGCCAAATGCACCCGGCTGCGTAGACGGCCATCGAGCCCCGGCCATTCAACGACGTCTTTCGATGTGAACTTTCTGGCCTTCTTGAAGCTGCGCGGCCACGACTTCCGAGGCATGAACATCATTCGGATCGCAGCGTTTAGCAGCTGTCGTGCTTACAATGACACTGTGCCTTGCAGCTTTCAGCGCGGGACACTGTCCCATCCCCAGGGGGGACGTTCCTGCGAATGTCTGGCCTGTCCCACCGAACCAGAGCATTGCGACCCTGTTGTGTCACAGCACATGCATTCTATGAGATCTTGCTTGTGGGTCCCAAAAGCAATCTGCGCTTGCATCCGGCACATTGTTGTGAGAGCACGCATCGCCAACGCCTTTTGGTTTCGAGGCGCAAACATGATGACACATTGCCTCATGGCATGCGACAAGCGCCATAATGGCAGCACGCACGCACCAGCGCCTGTGCCTGACGTGCACATCTCTACAGCTACCGACCTTCATGGCGAGCTGAGTCTGGGCGCCATAATTAATCCAGAGCTGGTAGCTCGGGTGAGTCTGGCAGCCGCCTTAGGGCAACCAAGGTTGCTTGTGCCAAATCGGCTGGAGCTCGTCGATCCTTCTGCGGCGCCACGGTGCAACGCTGCTGATACTCTGCAGCAGCGACCGCCAGCGCCGCTGCCACACGCACGCGTGTTCTCAAATTCACACGCCAAGCCCACAACTTTTCATCTGACAACTGCACTACTTCGGGATTTGGAAAACGAACATCGGAGGCGTTGGGTGCACCACAATTGTCAGAAAAGGTCGCCTGGAGCGGAACGCGAATGCAGTCAAAGGAAAAAACAACAGAGCTTTTAAAGCGTGAGATTAACACACTTCCATTTACACGACCCTCCAGCGCTCAGCTGCTCACCGCGCCGCCGCTGACGCCGCCATTGCCCCTGGGGGCTGCTGAGGTGAGTGCTGACCAATGCTGGGCTGCGGTCGCAGCTCTGAAGCAGATTTTGGACAGGACGGATCTATTTCTCTGCATTGATGCTGTGTAGCTCATGCACAGTCGCTGCTGGTCCTCCGAATCCATAGGAAACCAGTCTGATTGCTGTGCACACAGGGACAGACTCAAGACTAGACCGTCAAGACCATGGCGATTGACGAAACTGCGGGGGTGGCGCTGGCCGATGACGGCGATGTGGGCATGGCTGAACTTGCCAACGCCATTGTGACGCCAAGCAATGTGGCCCTCTTTGTCATCTCCCTCCTACTTGTCCATCTCTGCGTCTTCTTCTTTTGGGTCTACCAATACATGACCACTGACGGTGTGCCCAAGATGCAGTTTGGCAAGAAGGAGCGTCAAGACTAGACAACCAGACGTCTCCTCGCTTGCGCAGGCATGGTCGGACAAGCATCCTGGGGTCGCTCAACCTTCTCCCAACGCAAATGCCAATGTGTCGTGCACGGCCGTAATTTGGCGTTGCCGTTGGTTGTTGGCCGAGCCAAGCAGCAGCCGTTGACGTCCCACCGCAAAATCGACAACCCTTACCATGGATGCACCATATGCTTGGCTTTTGAAAGTAAATTGTTGTTTTTCTCAATCTGCCTGCGTTGTGGACAAAGCCTAACAGTTCGGGGTTTGGGCGCGCTCATCCGACCAAAGGCGAAGCGAGTCTGGCAATCAGCACACATCAGGTCGTGAAAGAGTGAAAGACTCTTGGTAGCTTGGATATCATGGCTGTCAAATGTCCAAAATGACGTAAACATCATGGGTGGCCCGCTCCGTGTGAATCTGCATGTTGGAGTAGGTGATAGCCTTGATCTCAGTACCCTGTGGGTGCTTGGCCAAGTCAAACACCTCGCCCTTCCTAAGCATGCACAGCGATAGCCATGGTCAGTCGGGGCACAGGTCGCTTGTGATGTGCATTGCGTACAGCTCGGAGAGCGAGGAGCTGGGCCGTGGTCGCTCATGGCAATGGCCACATCCTACCCGCGCACGGTAATCTTAAAGTTGTCGGTATCAAACTCGACAATTTCAACCTCACGGCACACCAGGTTGTCCTCGGCGCTAAACCGGAACAAAAACTCGTCCAACAACGCATACAACAACGACATCAAATCATGACCTAAGCGTGCAAGAACATGACCCCCCGGTGGTCAGTGTCCAGAGCACAAGCAGAGGCGCGCGAGAAATGGGGGGATGATCAATAGCATTGGTGCAAAGACGAATAACCTACCCTCGACTGAGAATTCAGAAGTCTGTGAATCATCAATCTCAATAGCATCCAGCTCTGTCATGTATCCAAACATGGCCACAACGGTTTGCTCAAAACTATCCTTCAGTGTCTGCCCCCACGCATGCACCCTGTTCCACCCAGCAGAAAGTTAGATCTGCTAGAATCGGGTTGATCTTCAAATCCTCCAAAAACTAAGAGATGATTTGTACAAAGTGTTGCACGTACTGGATATCAGCCGTGTGGTCTAGATCTGCAGAGATGACAGAAAACGTGAGCCAGAGGCGCGCGGAGCATCGATGTCGGGTGCAAAGTCGGATGAGCCACAGAACCAAGGAACAGGCATCAAAACATGGACATGAGATGGGGCAATGACGTTCACGTACATTCAAACCCGCTTGCCGTGGTCTTGGCCTCGGCCTGTTCAAGCCCGGCCCCCCCGGAGCACATGAACAGCATTCAAAAAGATCCGAGTAGAAAAGGATACAAGATAAAACAAGAAGCCAAAAAAAAAACAAAAAAAACCCCCAATCAGAAAGAGACCGAGCTCCGCGCTGGCAAAGCACCCAAGCAATCAGGGACACATCGAGTCAACGTCCTGTGTTTCTCACCGTGTTGGCGCGTTTTGCCTCCTTCTCGCCGCCCTTTGAGGTCGGAGAAGTGCCTGTCGAGTCAGCCATTCTGTACGTTGTGTGATGATTGTTCTGCTGCTGTTGTCGGCTCTGCGTCACAACACACGTTGACTTGATCAAGGTACCGCCAATGGAGAAAAACTGTTGCTCTTCTCCTTCCGCCCCGCCAGCCAAGAAGCAACACCACCCCGTCGTAACACAGATCAGACAGACCTGCCAACTCTGGCCTCGCAGCACAAGCTCGTCGTCCAAAATTGAAAAGCAGCGAGCGACCCGTCACGCGTCAAAAATCTGACTTTTAATTGTCAGACGAATTATCCGCCTCACTGGAAAAGTATTTTACTTCATCAGTACAAGCTGCTGTGACTCCTTCTCACAAGAATGAGGTGTGGGAGCACTTTGACCCGTATTCGTATTTTTTTTTTCTTCATCACAATGTTAACATGGAGCAGCACGATCGGTCGATGCTTGCTGCTGCGATTAGTCTGGTTGGCTCGCTCTGGGCAATCCACAGCAGTCAGTCATGTCCTGATCATCAAGAAACACAGCCACAGTCAACTGCCTCTCAAGAACAAGGAGCGCACGAGCCACCAGATAGGCGATCGGCCTCGACACAACAAGTTCAAGATACAAGGCCAGCGAGAATTTTCCTCCCTGAACCGTCACATCCTGCCCAAGATGCAAGTACAGTGAGAATTTGCCTCCCTGATCCGTCTTCAACAACGAGCACCAGAGCGATGCCAGGAACAGCCGGACCCAAGGACGTGCAAGCAAAAGCTGCTCGATCGAAAGCCACTCAAACAACAGCCATTCGCCGCTCAAAAGACACTCGAACAACACCATTTCCTCGCCAAAATGCTGCTTCGGCAAGAGCCACTCAGCTGCAAAATGTGCAAACTACTGCGCAAGCAACAGGTCTTCATGAAGCTGCCCATCCTTCCTCGGCTGTTCAGCTTGCGGCTCGACCAAAGTCGATGCAAGCAAAGGCGCCCGAGATCAAAGTCTCTCGAGCACAGACTGCTCAAGCCAAAACCAACCAAGCCGCCATGCAGGCAGCAACTGCTCAAGCAACCATAGCCGCTCAGGCAAAGGCTGCTGCTCAAGCAAAGGCTGCTGAAGAACGAGCTGCTGTGGAACGAGCTGCTCAAGCAAAGGCTGCTGAAGTACGAGCTGCTGAGGAACAAGCTGCTCAAGCAATGACTACTCGAGCAAACGTCGAACCGATGCCCATTGTACTAGTACCCCCCCTTGTCGTTTCTCCCAAGACCTTGAGGGACGCAATCCTGTATGGTCGTGAGGAGAAAACTCATCCAGGGCCAAGTGGTGAAGTGCGGTGTAAGTTGATTCATCGTGGTGTTGTGTACATCACCGACGAAACAAAAAGCACAGTCATCACTCATTGGCGCCTTGATGGTCAACGCAAAGATGACATCAAGAGTTTGGTGGAGACTTTGAGAGCGTCCACATTGTGCTGGTGGTCGATGACAGCGGATCCATGCGCAATGACAGTGTCAACCAATTTCAGTCTCGCACAGAAGCCGTGTTCATGTCCCTGCTCAAAGTTTTTCGCGACATGCAAGCAAATGCCAGCCGAGAGCTTCAAAGTGCCCTGAAGAACTTGTCTATTTCCCTGATTCTGTTTGCAGAGAAAGCAAGAGTGGAGCTAAACCGGGCTCCTCTGGGCCCAGCTTTCCTGGCAAAGCTGCAACGTCTTGCAAAGTCAGTCGCCAGAAGTCACGGATTTTACTTATCTGGATTGACGGCCCTGGAAGAGCTGTTGGCACCGGAAGCAGAAGCCAACTCGCGCATTATGGTGCTTTGGCTCAGTGATGGGGCGCCCAGTGACCATGTCTTCGAGCGATGCTCCCATGACATCGAGGTTTGGCAACGCCTTGACGATTCCGACAAAGCTGATTGTGTCAAAGGTGCTGCCTGTCGAACGGAAGTCAAAACAAACGTTCGAGAGCAGATCTTGCGCCGCGTCCAGCGCCTTGGTGATACGCTTGGGCAAAATCGCCTGAGCTTCTATACCGTTGGTTTCGGGCCAGTAGACTCGGAGTTTGAAATGCTTCACGACATGGCTGCTGTCTTGATGCATGGTCAATGTCTCAGCCTGGGCCTGAACGTGGCCGCTCTTGTCAATGCCTTTTCGACATTGACCGACACTAGCTCAACGCTTTTGTTGGGGACCGCCGGCACGTGTCAAGAACAGGTCAGAAATGAGAAAGAATGCTTGGACGAAGTGGTGGAGACGCGAACATGGCACCTGTATACCAGCCGCAAGTATACGTTTAGCAAGAAGCAGCGGTTTCGGAGTCAGCAGCTGGCGCCGGGAGCTGACGGCATCGCCGTTTCCAAAACACATTTTTCGTCGGGCCGAGAGCGTTACGCCTTTGATTGCACGGAGGTGGCTTGCGAGGTCAAGGGCTTCCGTCTTGTCGCCAAGAAGAGTCGAGCTGAGAAAAAGTTGAGGTTCCATGAACGAATCGCCAAAACGCAATCGGCTGCTCAAGCGATGGCCGACTGCTTCAACAAACGTTTGCAATCTTGTTTTGACAGTCCGCAGCCCGCATTGCTCCTCCATTTTGTGCCTTGTGCAATTTACGAGGTTGATGAGGTCAGCCGATCAGGTGGCAGAGCCTGGTTCTTGGTCGAGCCGCTCCTCGAGGGCAGGTTCTGCAAGTGGAACAACAACGCTGGTGGTGTACGGAAGAACATTGGCGTAACAGTGCGTATCGGTACTAGCGAGCTGTGTATCGACGACGTCACTCAGGCCTTCAGCCACTTTTCATACGAGAGATCCAACCATTCAGCGCTGATCTGCGACATGCAGGGCATTTGGAATGCCGTTGATGGGTTTTCGTTGACTGACCCAGTCATTCATCATGTTGGATGTAATCGCAAACACAGGGCTGACACTGACTTTGGAGGTGCGGGCATCGACAGTTTCTTAGCGACCCACAAGTGCTCCACGTTGTGCCAAATGCTCAAGTTGCCTTTCATAGAGCCACGGCTCAGCAAGCACAAGCAGCATACGTTCGAATCGGTACTGCGGAGGCATCAGGCCTATTAACTTGCATGGCCTGCCGCCTCCATGGCCTTTTACATGTGACTTTGCGGCTGACTGTTGATATGTTCATGCTTGTCGAATAAGCTGGCCCGGGGCCACAGCCACCACAAACTGAGTAGGCTGACTTGCGACACCCTATCGATAATTGAGTATTCGAATGCCAACGTCCGTTCACTGACCAGGTGACCTTTGACATTGAGGCCAAAGCCTGCTCGCCTCGAACTCGCTTGGTGAAGAAACGTGCAAATACATGGCGTGTTGCCACTGTGCCGAGCTCATCCTCACTTGACACACAGCATATCGCAGAGCGACACAAACAATCAGCTGAGGCTGTGCCAAAGCCGAGAAGAGAGATCACGGACAGAGACAGGCGCAGGCACACGGGCAGGGACATATGAGCAGGTGGACAATCACAAACACATCCATGGCTGCAGGTACAGCCAGACCATGTCGACGATGGCATCTGTTAGGTCTATGCCTGTCGCAAGCGCAATCGCTCCGGTATTCAAGCGTTCGTATACAGCAACAGACGCTTGACTGACTCGAGTGGCAATGTGATTCAGGCACTTTCCAAGCTGTCATCCTTACACGTGCTTTATTGCCCGCCCGTCATACACTCCCTGATCCCCCTCTCTCTGGCAAATTGTATCTATTTGATGGCTTAAATGTGCGCGCAACAAGAGCTTCTGACTGCAAAATAGCACTCAATTTGTGAACGCAGTCAAAAAGAGGTATCCAATTCCACCTCGACCTGCGGTCCAACAGTTACACGTGTTTGATAAAGCGCGCCGCGCCCGTGATGCGTGTCACATCACCACCACCATCGCCACGCCACCACCTCCTCATCCTTTTTGCCGTAACGCAGCCCCTTGGACGTAATGATACAGGTGTCGGTGAAGCTGTGAAAGATTGAGGAGAATGACAGGCTGAGTCTCACGCGGGCTTGGCACGTTTAGCATCGGTTGGACCAGCATCGGCTTGGCGCTTGCCACGTTGTTGATCACGGCCCTTGGGCTGCTTCTTTTTCATGCTGAGCGGATTGGGTCCTTTCTTCTTCTTGTGGCGAGGTTGAGTGGCACCTGCACTCGCACCTGCAGGCCCGGAGGAACGTACAGCACCAGAGGTGGCTGAACTCGCGGGTCGGGTTTTAAGAGGTGCAGCTGCGGCGGGGACCGGGGCTCCAATCTTGCGGGCTGTGAGGGCAGCCACAGCTTGCTCTGTAGCCACGGTCGGTTTGAGCAAGATGGGGCGGTTGTTGAGGACAGTGATGACGGGCAGGGCTGGGATGGCGGCCAGATCGCGCATCAGGCGGTTGTCCTGTGTTGCCACGACAAATCGATGCTCATTCTTGGGGCCTACACAGAGGTAATGAGTTGGCAAGCAAAGGCCAAGCAGTATTGGCGGCCAATATGAGTATGAAGAAGGAGCGCTCGATGCTCTGAGCAGCAGCCCACCGCTAGGCCGGTCATACCAATCAGGTTTTTGACGCATTTTCCGGCCATGATGGTGGGCTTGTGACCACAGCGGCGAAACTTGAAGTTGCGCAACAAAACTTTGGCACCGTGCATGTCTTCGCCTGTGGTGCACATCCAGCACACGTTCAAGATGAATTAGCCAATAAGTCGGGGGTTCCGGTGCCAACGGTTGTTTCAGGTTTTCGATGTTTTTTGGCCAGGACTGTTGGCACGGGGAAACGACGCCACGTACCGATGGCATCCAGCTCCACGTAGAGGCATTTGGTTGTGACTACACGGGATCACAGAGAGATTGGGACGGCAGGCAGCACCATGAGCAGGGCGCCTGCGCCTGATATGTGTTTCTGACTGTACGCGTGCTTGCGTGAATGCGCGAGTCATGATCGAGAGCTGTGATGAAGCGTACAAATCTGGACAGGACCGCCAAGTAGATCAGGCAGACGTTCTGTCACGTGAATTTGACTGTCCAAGCATGCCTGGGCAAAGGTACCGTCGACTGTTTACAGACCAACACGCATTGAGGGTTTGCGAAGCAGCTGGGCGCAAGGCACATTTCGGCCGGTTGACAAAGGGGTCGCCTGGAGGTGTTGAGCGTACCTAGGACTTGAAAAGGTTGACGAAAGCCAAAGTTTTGCGTATAGATGGACATGCGCTTCTTATTGCGCTTGTTCTGGCCGGCAAGTAGCAACAAAAGTTCCACCGTTAGATGGGCGAGGTGCTGAGCACACGTGGTGCCGATGCACGCTGACGACCACCGCCTGCTTGCGTCCAATCCATGAATGGTGGTGTATCTCTGCTTGCCCCATCCCTTGCTTCGCCATACCATCTCGCCCGATAGAATTGCAAACCGAGCTGCATCATTGTCGCCATCACCAGCCACGCCCTGCTATCGGCCCGATCAGGTCCGTGTTGAGCATACCTGGGTCACCCGCATGTTGGTGGTGGTCTGTTCGACCGGAAATGTCAGACAATCGTTCTCCCCTCAAGTGTGTCGAGTAGTACACATCTTCATCTTCGTGTGCTGTGTGCGTGTGAGTGTGTGTGTGTGTGTGTTCATCTTCGATTTTGAACAGAAAGGAAGAAATGGAAAAGGGACCTCGGTCGTCGCGGTCGCAATGGCGATGGTGGATCGAAGGGGGGGGGGGGGGAGAGAAAACAAAACAGCACGAGGCCTTGTGGCTCAAGCTCGAGTTTATAGAGGCCTGAAAAATCACAACACGTCCACCTTCGGACGGGGCGGGGTACGTGAAAGGAAAAGGAAACAAGCTACACAATGAGGAATGGCGATGCGGCACGGCCGGCCAGAGACCTATTGCCTCGAGAGTTGATCTTTGCCAAAGCGCGGAGGGGAGGCAGCATGAGTCAAAGACACATTCAGACACAAGAGGTGCAAAGGTGGCGAACACAAGACAAGCCGGGTTCACAACATACAAGAGGTGGTAATGTAGGAGGAGCCAAAGCCGCCCATCAGGCCGAGGATGGCAGCTGTCCAGGCTGCCGGCTTGGCTTGCACAGCGGGGCCTGCACACATGCCCGTAGTTCAAGAGTGAGAAAGACGGCGCACCGAGATAGATGATGCACTGGCTTGACCACGACTCCACAAAAATAAGCCCATATTGTGTGGTGAAACAGGAGGAGGAAAGCACTCACCGGCACGAATGGCAAAGGCTGCCGCGGCGCCAGCAAAAAGGGCCATTTGGCCGTACTCGTGCAGGCCAAAGGCATTGACGACCTCACGGTACGAAGCCTTGGTGATGCTCTCAGCAGGCGCCATGATAAAAGGTTGCGATGACCGATCCGACCTGAAGAGCCCGAGCGGCAAGGTGGGTCAGTACCCGCACTCTCTCAACACCTCGCACAGCGCAGTCAAGCACAAATGGGCTTGAAAGAAGCATGTTCACCCTCGCCCTGATCTTCAAGAGGGCGCAGAGCAAGCACCACCTTGACCACAATGCCAAGCGCTCGGCAGAGAGAGGCAGAGAAGGCACAGAGAGGCAGAGAGAGGCACAGAGAGAGGGAGAGAGAGAGAGAGCGCGTACCTTTGAATCAAACAAGGGAGAAAAAAATATGGAACAAAACCTGGTCCAAAACCCGGTCCATGAGCTGACCCTAACAAACCCAATGTCAGATAATTCCTCTGTGTGTGTGTGTGTGTGTGTGTGTGTGTGTGTGTGTGTGTGTGTGTGTGTTTTATTTCGTGATTTGCTTGGCCCCCTTTGCAGCCCCCTTTGGCCCCCCCCTCTCTCTCTCTTCTCCTGGTCTGGTTATCAATCAGCCGCGGTCCCGGTCGTTGTAGTGCAGGGTAGTTCACTTAGACGGGCACATGGCGGCCAAGGTTCTTGACTCCGAGGCCGGTGTGCCAGACTTGTTGGTGGCGCTCGAGCAACGGTTTGCCCAGGTGGACGGCTACGGCATTGCACGGGAGGAGCGTAGCAAATTGCGACGCGCCGGGCGCTATGCTGAAACAGAGTCTTTGCAGTACGGGGAGGTTCGCTTGACCAGCTTCTGGCGTTTGTTGCAGACCCTGCCCTTGACCCCCGAACATCGCATCTTTGCTGACGTGGGCTCGGGGACCGGGAAGCCTGTCTTTTGTGCGGCGGCCTTGGAACCGGCCTTTGACACGTGCATTGGGATCGAGATTGTGCCGGCGCTGCACGAGGAGGCATGCCGCGTTCAGGCAGCCCTCCAGCAGGGCACACCTCAAGAGCACACGCTGGCGAAACGCATTCAATTACACAATGCCGACCTCTTCAAGGCCGTGGATGTCTGGGCCCAGGCCCAGGTGCTCTATATACCCTGCACATGCTTCACTAACGACATGATGGCCGCGGTGCACCGGCTGCTCTTGGAGGACAAGGTGGCTCCCGGTACCCTCATTATCACGACCACGCGCGAGCTCACGGACAAGGAGGGTGGTCGGCTGGCCCATGTCCTCACTCGGCAGCTACCGTATCAGCGCGGGGCCATCACCTTTCACGTCTACCGCAAACTCCAGGGCTCCTCTGCAAATTCCAGCACAACAACGTCTACGTCCGAGGCTGCGCCCTCATCACCAATGCCTGGTGCCACTACTTGCACCCCGACGGCCGAGTCTGCCCGCGCAGGCAATACCAAGTCCCATGGGGCAGGTGAATCAGACGCACGTCCCATGGACAAGCGCTCAAAGCGGTAGCACAGGCTGGAACAAGCCACGCAACTGCTTCGTGGCCACTTCGCCGGGGTTGTCAGCCTGGGATGCCGGGCTCGTTGAGGCCTCTAGTGTTTCAAGCGTGCCTTGCCAATCATTACCATGGTTGTCACAAAAAACCATTGTGCCGGTGGGTTGACCATCTTTCCATGCTGCACAGGTCACCGTGCTTCCATCAGCAAATGTGTATTTGCCCGCGCCAGAAAACCGCCCCTGTGCAAAGTGTCCCTGCAAGATGTCCCGTGCAGTACATGAGCGGTGTGAGATCGCGCCAATTTTCTGAATCGATGTCCCTCGTCTATCGATAAGTCCCATTTCAACACGACCGGAAAAAGCGAGAGAGGGAGAGAGTAAACAGAAGAGGAGAGGGAGGAAGAAGAGGAGAGAAAAAGAAAAGGAAAAGCGAGCGCGAGAGAGAGAAGAGGGAGCCCAAAAAAAAGGGTAGAACAAGGTGCGAGATCGAGGCAAAGAAATCAGAAGATGAAGAGGATGGATGCATGGTGGGCGGGGTAGCCAAGTTGCGGCGATGACTCATCCAACGCGCACCTCATACACAGCACCAGACGCCAAAGCGAGCTTGCCCGTGCCATGCATCTTGTCTTCCTCCCAAGCTCCCTCGTAAGTTGTGCCATCTGGAAATGTCATGGTCCCCGTGCCGCTGTACAGGTAGCCGAAGCAAAGCAGCACACCATCGCACTGTGAGCGGGCAATCGCGCGCTTCTACACCCGGGCGCATGGCATACCTGCGCCCGACGGTGGTACCGTCGTTACCCTTGATGTATTGGCCCTTGTATCTGCATAATGGAGCAGCAAAGCATGGCGCCAACCGTGAGCACCAAGGAACAGAGTCCAGACTGTCTTCATCGAGCGCGAAGGCAGGCTTCATTCACGTACACACTGCCATCGGCGCAGATGAAGGTGTTCTCATGAAGGACTGGCGGCTCAGCTGCCAGAAATCAAGTATTCGACCGGTGAGCATAAGCCACCCCTTGAGTTGTGCGTGCCAAGCTGCGCATGTTCACCTGGAGGATTTGAAGAGGCCACGCGCTTCTTGCTCATGATGGCGGTAAGCAAAGGAGCTTTTCGAAGCGCACTCGCTTGGCTCTGAGTTCCTGTGCGTTGCGACACTCTTAAGCACCAGCTTTATGCTTGAGTCTGTCTTTTACTTGGCCTGCTCACCACCTGAAGCACACGGTCGTGTTAATGTGCCAGCCTCTGGCTGGTTGTCAAGGCTTGATGAGGGAAAGAAGAGAGGGAAAAAGACAAAAGATCTTTGTGAAATTTTTGTGAGAGACAGAAGATCCATTGGATGGAGCAAAGATCATTTTTTTTTGATTTGACACGACAAGGTGGAATACAAGTCCGTCGAAAGGATTTGGATAGGTCAGACAAGGGCTAACATCACATAGACAACAGCAAACACGCATCGGTCTCGTCCCAGTATTCATCGAAGGTGTGAATACAAAGAGAGCCAAGAGCGCCAAGGCGCGGGAGAAAAAGGAGCGACAATCCTGTTCGGCGAGGAAATTCACGCAGCTGCTGTAGAGGCAACATCAATGTTATGACGGATGGCACGCGACGACGTCAGATCTCGCGGCAGCTTCCCATCGCGATTCCGAATCTGAGGCAGACAGATAAAGGTGAACAGCCAGGGAAGAAAAGTTTTGAAGCCCAAACGCACGCGGTTCAAGCGGCGGGCCACCAGGCCTGTCAGCAGTCTGGATCAGGGATGATGGAATCCGTGGGAGCGGGGTACATGGCATACTTGTGTGTTGGCACCGGCTCGCAAAAGTTGCCGAACCAAGCTAGCAGCATTGATGCGCGCCGCATGATGCAAGGGCGTGTTGCCAAAATCATCGACCAAGTCCAATCGACACCCGCGCCTAGCACAACGCCCCAGGCAGGGCCCATCTTTACGTGAGCTCAAAGGCATGCCAGGGTTGAGCCTAGCCAAAGATCCAGCCTGATGCAACCTACCGCAACAGGCCGCGCACAATCTTGTTTTGGCCGTGCGCACATGCTACGGCCAGAGGTGTCATGCCCATCTCCAATGCCACGTTGAGGTTGGTACGATCCATCATGAGGATGCTTAGCGTCTCATCATCTCCCTCTTGGATCGCTGCCAGAACCGACACGGCCTTGGCTTGCATTTGGTCTAATAACAGCATTGGCCGCTCAAATCAACTCTAGTACGAAATGGTCATTGGCCTTCATAGCGGGCGATTTGCGAGCTGTCTTTCCCATCGCCCGCACAGTACCTGAGCTATAACGCGCTCGTGACTCGCGGCGGTGGCCCAGCGTGCTCGACTCTGTTCGGGAAGTCTCTTGCTCTTGGGCATCTTCCTGGCGCAGTGAGCGCGAGGACCGGCTCGATGCAGAAGCCTTGGGTGCACCGCTCGTTGCAGTTGGTTTTGAAGCCTTGGTTGTTCGGCGGGCGCGAGTGCGAGGTGCAATGGCCGAGCCCAGGCCCACCTTGGTGCCCTTGCGTAGAAAAAATATTGGCACCTATGTCAACCGCAGAGGGAATGATTTGAGTCATTTTCGTGCCTTCTGTCCTCGCGATAGCACGTATCAAAAGCATTGCAGTACTCGTCAGCGGTTCTTGCCTTGGGTGGCGCAGCAGTGCCCATCGTTTCAAGAGCCTTGAGCCGAGCGCGATAACGGCAGTAGCTGCCAAAGGGCAATACGACGCAGGGGGATAGGACGCAGTCGATGCTGAAGGTGCGCGGCATGGTCGTTGCTGAAGCAACAAAGAGTTCATCCTATATGACAAGCCAACCAAATATGTTGGGGGGGGGGTGTCCGCACAGCTCTTGGATCGGCCAGGTCAAAGTGTGTTTACCTCGCCATGATGTGGCTGGCGACCTCGGCGTGTCTCCTCTGGGCGTAAGAGCCATGTAACGGTGATGTGTTGCGTATCGGTGCGCGTGTCGTGCAGCATCCGGACGATCCGCGCTACATAGGGCTTGGGCGCCTCAGCAGCGCGCAGCAGCACGGTGCTGTCTGTCGTGAGCAGGGTCTCCCCAAAGCGTATGTTATTATAAAATATGGCCGCATCCTTGGGTGTGCGTCGAAAGATCAGCATAAACGACACATAGCAAACGCAACAGGTGAGCTGCACTGGGGCGGTGCGTTGCGTGTGGGTGCGAGGAGCAAGTTGTTTGACAAAGTACATACAGCTTGTATGGCGGTCAGCTCTTCGCGAGAAAGATTATGCGCGGCGGCAGCACTCATGGCAACAGAAGGCCCTTCCCATTGCCATCCGGTATGTTTGGACACCTGGTTGGCAGAATCAGTTCCGGTACTGTCCGCAGTCTGACCTCGAGTGGCCTCGAAAGGCACCTCGACAGGAAGGGCCGCCAAGTTGAGCGGCTCCTCTGAACCGGGAAGACTCTTGGGCCGCGCGCCACGACGCCCGTAAGCCCTTTTCATGCCAGATTTGGTTTGTTCAGCATCGTGTGTTCGCTTGTAAAAGCGTCGCGGTGGTATGGTCTCTCGCTTGCCATCGCTCCCAGGGGTTTCGCTATCTTTGAGTGGCATGCTTGCTGTTGGAGATGTCGAGCCTGGGTGCATCAGCCGCCCTCACCAAGAAAGTCAGTTGATAACCCACCAACCTCCACCTCAAGATGCTTGCGGCTAAAGAAATGATATCCAGCAGTTCAGGAAGACTACCTTTGCATTCTCGCCCGCATGACGTGTCTCTACTGCCAGCGCGCATGCGCCACACGCCCGCCAGCTGCAGCTCAAACTGAGTGAGTTTGAGAGGAGAGAGTCAGAGAAAGAGTTTGAGAGAGAGAGAGAGAGAGAGTTAGAGAGAAAGAGAGAATTTTGAGAGAGCGAGAATTGTGTGTGTGAGAGAGAGAGAGAGAGAGAGTTTGTTTGCAAGGAAGTTTTTGATGCGGTTGCGGTTGTGGAGCTCGTGTCACAAACTTCAGGACGACAGAAGGCCAGGATGAGGAGATGTATGGCTCGGCCTTGCAAGTGCGCGTCGATAGTCTTGATAGAGTAAGCTGCCAAGCGAGTGTGTGTGTGTGTGTGTGTGTGTGTGTGTGTGTGTGTGTGTGGCTAGCAATCAAGGTGGTCACGAGACGCACATCGACCCAAGCCGAGGGCCCCGACCCCAAGTATCACCATGGCGGAGGGTGGTGGGCGGCGGGACGGGCCCGATTTGCGTTCTAAAGCAGCCATCTTGCGCTGGATTGGGGCCGATCCAGGCCACCGCGCAAAGCTGGATAAACTAAAGGTGGGTCTCAAGTACGGCTGACACTTGTCACAGACACAGCTTACCCAAAGTCACCCTGTCTTCGACTGTTCGATCCTAGCTGCCGGACGACTGTACGGTGCCCGAGTATGGGCCCATCTATCTCGGACACGATGGCCCGCGAGGAAAATGGTGCTGTCGAGCCTGCGGGAAAACATCTTCGACCAAAACCAAGGTTGGCCAGCCATGCTCCAAGCCGTCGATAGAGAAGCAATCGGAAACACTCGCCCGGCTGCTTTGCACAGTCTCGGCCCATCTGGCATGCGCTGTATCCGCACCATCCCTGCTGACTGGAACCTATTTGACTGCTATGCGATATAGATTTGGCATCATCTTGGTTCGGGCTTGCTCTCTCCTGCAAGAGCCATCTGCCCATGGCTGCACCTCACCAACGATTACGATCGCTTCGTGATGTTACCACCCAAGTCGGACGCCCCAAAGACAGCGCAGCACACAGCGGGCACCACTCTGCCCCACCCCCAGATGACGGGATCTAGTCCCACCGAACCTAACAACAAGAGAGCTCGACGTCATCCCGTGCCACCACCCCAGCTCATGTTGCCTCCGTCGCAAGTTACACTGGCTGCCACCACAGCCTCGACAGCCCAGTCATCGATACCCTCGCGGCCCACGCTCCTGTCCTTGTCATTTTTGGAACAGCAGCGGCAGCAGCAACAGCCGTCGTCCACCGCCCAAGCAACACGATCTCTAGCACAGCGGCGGCATTCATCAACACAAGATGCCAACCACACAACAGCCTTGCAGGAAGCTGCTGCAGAGATACAAAATGTTCGATCCAATCTGGACGGTGTGGCGCGACAGTTGCAGGACATGCTCAAAGCACTGGGCACTATGCAAGGGCGGCTGGCTGCCGTGGAACGGAAGCTTCATCTATAGCCAATTCTGTTGAACGTGCCTCGTACGTCTTCCTTTGGCCCAAAGCCAAGCAACTTCAAATTGTGTCATTAACAAGGCACTTGCTTGCAAATCAATTCAAACAAAAGCAGCGCCTTCTCTGAAGCAGTGCCTCTCGCACCTACTCCAGCGCTGGGAGAAGCTTGCTACGGCACTCGCCAAAGCCCACGCGGAAGCCCTCGCCTGTGTTCCAGCAGGAGAAAGAGTTACATTGGCACGGAGTGGAGGCAACAATGCAGAAAGGTTCAAGTTCACAGCTCGGGAACCGACCTTGGCAGAAGCCCGACATGATGACAGTGTCGTTATCCTTGAGAAACTTGCGCACTTCGCCCTCACCCAGGTCGATCTCCTTGGTGCCACGCCAGGACAGCTCAATCATGGAGCCGTATGAATCGGGTGTCTGCACACATGACCCATCACATTAAGCCACATCTACACAGACAGATCGTTGCATGCGACAAGGGCAGCAGCCCAATCACTGCTCTCAGCCGCTTTTCACGCACGAACCTTGCCGCTGATGGTGCCAGAGCCCAGAAGATCACCGGGTTGAGCATTGCACCCGTTGATCGTGTGGTGGGCAAGTTGCTGCTTCATGGTCCAATACATGTGCTGAAAGAGACACAAGTCGCCGCGCCAGTGTATGAACGTAACGTGCCAATTGGGAATGCTAAACAAGAGCAGGGCCGCTCTTCTAGTTTCGATACCCATTTGGTCCATGGCCACTCACCTTCAGGTTGGAGTTGGTGACGACCTTGCCTTCCTTGCCTTCAGCTGTGGAGGGGGAGCCGTGGAGAATGCCATGGGCATGAAGGAGGCGTTCGGTGAGCTGAAGAGGACACTGGTCTATAGCAGATCGTGAGCAAGGCACATACGAGCGATGGCCACGCTGAGATTGATGTCAAAGGAATATGGGTCCTCGTGGCGCAGGTACGGCAGCGGCACAGGGTCCTGGACGGGGTTGGGCACGGTAAAGGGGGCCAGGGCGTCCATGGTGACCACCCAAGGGGAGATGGAGGTGCCAAAGTTCTTGCCCAGGAACGGACCCAGAGGAACGTATTCCCACTTTTGGATGTCACGTGCTAGTACGACGAGCCACACCCACATGCACGCTCACATGAGAGTTGAAGACATGCTTCACGCGCGAGAGGAGAAAAGCGAGGGGAGGAGATGGGCCTCATCTGAGAGATGATCAGGGACCTACCGCTCCAGTCGTTCATCACAACCATGCCAAAAATGTGGTCCTGAGCCTTTTCAATGGGGATGGGTTCGCCCAGAGGGTTGCCCTGGCCGACGAAAAAGGCCATTTCGAGCTCAAAATCGAGAAGTCGCGAGGGACCGAAGACCGGGGGCTCATCTAGGTGTATGGGCAAGAACATGGTGCAGCGTGAGCACCCGCAAAATTTCTTGGGGTTAGCTGAGGGCCGGCAAACCTTGAAAAAAGCTCACCATCCTTGGGGCGGGTTTGACCACGAGGACGACGGATGTCCTGGCCAGACACGATCACGCTTGACGCACGACCATGGTAACCGACGGGAATGTGCAGCCTGGTTGTCACATCGTCCCCAGAAGCCAATGAGCATCACACCCCATCCCATCATGGCTATCAAGGTTCGAAGGTCCATGAACCAGCAATCATCACGAGGGTCTTACCAGTTGGGCAGCAGGGGGTTGGAGGCATCGCGGAACATGGTGCCCAAGTTTGTAGCGTGCTCACGGGAGCTGTAGAAATCGGTGTAGTCACCTGTAAAGGCGCAAGGGATGAGCCGCGGTGAAGCACACCATCGGAAAAACCATAGATAGGTGCGTACCGATGGAGGCAGGCAGGTGCATGGTAACCGACGCCTGCGGCACCAAGGCACTAGGAAAAGGGGTGGGTGGGTGAGAAGGCGGGGTGGCGCCACAGCTTGGGTGCAATGCAGAGGTTGGGGTCTTACCGGGCACGAAGCTCGGCATTGTCGCGAAGCACGGCCTAAGGAACATTGCAGCAAGGGATTTGCACATGAGGTGGGCATGACCATGCGCGGGAGGGTCATTCACTTGAGCATACCTCATCACTGGACAAAATCTTTTGCAGAGAGGCACGGGTTTCAGTCCAAGCAGCCTTGGGCAAAGCCATCAGTGGGTTCAGGACAGCCTAGGTAAAGGGTTGGGAAGGAACAATGCTTGAGCTGGGGTGACAAAAACCAAAAACCAATTCCATGCCAGTCGAATCAGAGTGGCGTCAAAGAAGCACGCACAGCATCAAAGACATCACGATGCTGGGAGATGGTGGGGCCTGACAGAGGAGGACAGGTGGAAGAGAGAAGGTGGATGAGATGCAACACGGCCAGTGACGGGTGTGAGCTTTCATCGCTGACATGCTCAGCGATCCTATCCAAGCCTCGGGACGCACCATCAATCAGGTCCTTGACGGCGCTGAGGTCAAGCACGTAATCACCGATGGCCACACCAATGTGGCGGGCATCCTAGCTCGTGGAACACGTCAAAAACACGGGCGTAAGGACGAGCGCTCTTGTGCAACAAAGATGGGCGGTCAGCCAAGCTGCTTTACATGGGGCCTGGCTCATTCTGACCTCGCCAGAGCGGGAGAAGACGCCATAGGGCAGGTTTTGGATGGGAAAGTGAGATTCCGGGGCAACGTCGATGAATGACTTCATGGCGGCGTCGGTGTGCGCCTGCGCAGCAGAGAGGGTGAGCGGTGCGCACCGCACCGTATCGCAGAGTACCTCCACAACAAGCGTACCTTCTTGGCAGCCGGCTGGGAAATGGTGGCGGTGATTCCAACGCAAAGCAAAAACGATAAGCACGGATGAACGGACAAGAGCCCAAGCGTGCGATGCGGGGGGGGTCTTGAGTCAGTGGCAGCAGCAAAAGCAGGGAAATGCCACTGGCAACACTTGGAAGGCGGTGTGCTTTGGCTTTCTTTTTTTTTTCACGTGACAAGAGAGAGGGGGAACGAAGAAAATTCTTGAGAGAAGAGAGAGAGAGAGAGAGAGAGAGGAGAGAGAGAGAGATGATGTGAAGAGTTGAATTGGTTTGGTGTGATGTGAAGAAGAAGAGAAGAGATGAATTGCATAAGCGCTTCGAGGTTGAACAAATTGTCAGCGGGATCCTGTTGGAGCGATTCCTGTTGGAGGTGGTCAAAATGGAAGGCGCTTTGGAAGAACAAAATTTTTATGTGCGCATGCGTGACTTGTTCGCTCCAAGTCGGGGGCATGGGAGCGTTCAAGGGGCGCCACAAGCAGAAGCAACTCTCTCTCTGTTCATCGACTGTCTGGTTGGTGCAACGCCATGCACTGCCGTCTTATCAGTCCGAGTCCGAGTCGCTGCCATAGGCCCCCAGAAGCGCAAGTCCTTGGCTAGGCGCTGGTGCTGTGGGTGTTGGCGTTGCTGATGCCACGGCCACACTAGCCTTGGCACCGCTCTTGGGCCGCACAAGGCCCCCCAATCGCTGCTTCAAACTCGTGGTGGTCGTTGAGCGCGATGATGTCTCAGCAGATTGAGCGGCTGGCGCGGTGTTCTCGGTCTTGGCCCGCTTGGCCGGTGTACGGGCGGCATTCGTGAGTGGGTCGCGATCTGGTGGCAAGGACACGGCATTGTCAGACGGGGCTTCATCGTCATCCAAGCGTTTGACCTTAATCACTCGTTGTTGTCCGAAAGCCTTGGCCACGGCATCATCCTCCTCCTGCTGAATTCGCCGAGCCAACTCCTGTACTACGGTGGCCTCCTCGCCGTGCTTCTCAGCCAGGATGCTGTCTACGTCCACTTTGGATGCGCGGGCGTTGGCATCTTGAATCTCCTCCAATGCATCGATAATGTCCATCTCCTGCTTGGATTCCTTGGTGCGCTCCTCCAGCGCTCGCATGGCATTTTGCTCCTCCGTCGCTTCGGCTGCTAACAAGGCTTCTTCATCGTCGACGGTTCCAATGCGATCCTTCATGCGCCAGGTTTCAAAGTTGCGCGTGGCCCCCGCCTCACATTCGTAGTCTGTATTCTTGGGGTCCGTCTTGAACGTAATCTCACCGCAACAGCGGGGACAACGAATGTAGAACCTGTAAATTCGCATCCCCAGGTATTCTTCGCCTTGCACCGTCTCCTAAAGAAGGCAACGGACACATGGTTCCGCCCCCAACGTGTTCGTGAGTTTGCGGTGTGTGCTAGTACCACAGAATAAAAGAATAGAGGGTTCAAGGAACGCTCACACACCTTGACGGCATTAAATTTTGTAGCCTTGTAGATGTAGTTGCCACAGTTGAGGCACCGCATGTTGAAGGGGGCCATGAGCCGGACTTTGTATTGTCGATCCTTGGACATTTTCATCCGCGGGACCTGAGACGGATCAAAGTCCGGGGGATAGTACTTGTTCAAAACCTTGCGCTCACCCATGGCGCTGGTGCTGAGAGATGAGCCGCTCTCGTAAGTGCCAAGTCACACCCAACCGTCGTCCCCAGCCTAGCGGCAGCAGTGAACAGCAGGAGACAATACAACACTAGAAGCAATCCGTTGACGCTATCCTATTCTTCTATCCCGGGAATGAGGCTGCGTGCGCTTAAAAAGCAGCAAGGAAATCCCGGCCCCCCTTCGCTGTCCGACGTCGCTGAGCGATCAGAACAAGAAAGAGAGAGAGAGAGAGAGAGAGAGAGAGAGAGAGAGAGAGAGAGAGAGAGAGAGAGAGAGAGAGAGAGAGAGAAAAAGATAAAAAGAGAAAGAATTGGTTTGGTCGGTTTGAGAAAGAGAGAAGTAAAGAGTAAAGAGAGAGAGAAAAAGAGAGAGAGAGAGAGAGAGAGAGAGAGAGAGAGAGAGAGAGAGAGAAAAAGAGAGAGAGTAAAGCCATAGGTGAGGGATAATGTAAACTTTGACACACTATCGCATCCAGCTCTGAATTTTTTTTTTTCCACTTTTCCACGGTGGTCGCTGTGGCTTGCCTGGACCTTCGAGCGGTCAGGACGCATCCTTCAACATGTCAAATATCTACATTACTGAGCCACCGACCACGGGCAAGGTAGGGTTGTCTTTTGGCTTTGGGTTTGGCCTAGATAGGGCTGTCCTCACCAGGTTAGAGGTGTACCATAGGTCGTGATTGAGACAAGCCGTGGTGATCTCGATGTCGAGCTGTGGTGTAAAGAATGCCCGCTTGCGTCTCGCAATTTTATCCAGTTGGCCCTCGAAGGGTTTTATGAAGGCTTGATTTTCCATCGCCTTGTTCGTGGTACGAAGTTGCTTCCCCGACTTGCTTTGCGCCGTCAACCGATGCATGGCTCTCATGCCTTCTGCGACTGTCGACATGGGGTCGATGACCCTTGTTCATGCGTGTAGATTTCATCATCCAGGGTGGAGATCCCACTGGGACCGGTGAGGGCGGAGAGTCCATTTTCGGCAAGCCTTTCAAGGTCAGCAGTCAGCCAGCATCGTCAAACTCGAGCGCGCGTCCTTCCCCGGGCCAAATCACGATAATGCATCAGCCAACTTGCAGCCACGTGGTGGCTGCAAGCCAACAGCCACACCACTTGTCTCTGGTTGTTGGGAGCATGGCAAGCATTGCATGTACTCGCATATTGTCTGTTGTGCTCATGTTGAAGGCGGTTCACCGCTTCGTGCACAGGATGAGTTTCATTCGCGTCTCAAATTCAGCCGACGAGGTCTTGTTGGTTGTGCCAACGCGGGCAAGGATGACAACAGCAGCCAATTTTTCATTACGCTTGATCGAGCTGACGAGCTCACAGGAAAGCACACCATGTTCGGCAAGGTGAGTCATTCATTAGGCAGTGCATCACCTCTGTATCGGCTCAGCTTCCCAGCTTTCCCTCTCATGCTATGCTGCACCACAGGTTGTGGGCGATACCATCTACAATTTGATTCGATTCAACGAGTTGAGTATCGATGCCAACGAACGCCCCGATGACCCTCCCATCATCAAGCGCGTAAGAGCATGGTCATCATCTTTCAGCGATGCATCATTTGGTCAAGCCCACGCTGTGAAATGGACTAACGTGCCTTTCTTCACACGGTCATCAATTCTTAGATTGAGGTTCTCATCAATCCTTTTGATGACATCAAGCCCCGCGAAGAGCGCATGAGTAGGCTCGCGCATCCACCGACGTCTTTGAGGCTTTTTATTTTTATTGTTACCTTTTTTTTTTTTGCTCCTGCCCGTGCCAGCGATTGACACATTGCCCTACTTGTTGGTGCTTGCGGGATTGCTCGCTGTTTAGAGGCTAAGCAGGCACAGATGCTTGACAAACAGGAAAAGGGCAAGCAGCGCGAACGGGTCAAGGCTGTCAAAAACTTCAAACTCATGTCTTTTGGCGATGAGGCCGAAGAGGCAGAAGAGGCAGACGCCATGGCACTGGGCAAGGTTTGACCTTGTTCATCGTCTATTGTGCCACATCAGCCAATCTGCCCTGCATTTTCCATCTTGGGGGCGGAGTCATCGGAACGCATCATGCCACCGCACAAAACCTAGGCTAACACAAACGGCTGTTCCTCTGATCCCCGTTGCTGCACAGCTCGGCAAGATCAAGAGTAGTCACGAGACGGTAGAGGATCGCCGCCTGCGCAAGGACACTGGCGATCTTGACCCGGCAGAAGAATACGTCTCTAAGCTAGGGAACAAGCCTCAGCGCAAGGTCGAGGTCGACAACGAGGAGAAGTGCGTGTCTTTCTATGAACGCCAAAGCCAAAATCTAAACCTCCGGCACCTTTTTTCAGCATGGACAGGCGCATGTGAGCAAAGCCGTACTCATGCCAGCGTATATTCATCACTCTCCCCGCATAGGCGACAGCGAAAGCCTGTTGAACCCGCCGAGCCAACTCGAGAGGAGCGTCTCGAGGCCTTGCGACAGGTCTGTTACTATGCTGGACGAGCCTTCAAGCCCTGTCTTGGTGTAGTTGTCGAGCCTTTGATTGCATTCCCCGCTGACATCACTTGTGTATTGTTGCGCACACCATGCGGATGCCTGTTGATGCGCGAAGGAATCTGAGGCGCTCAAGGCCGAGCTGCGGGAGGGAGATCGGCAAACAGCGGCCAAGGCTGCGCCATCAGCAGCGAGTGACCATCAACCCAAGACTCAAGGGGCTCTCTACTTGTCCATGCAACAAGAAAAGTTCAAGCCCAGGTGAGTGTGTGGGCCCTGAGCTGCGTCCCAAGGTCCTGTAGATGTGGCTGTATGCCATGACCCCTGCCGCATTCGTGCCCGCTGACGCAGAGCCAAGCAAAAAAAGTCAGACCGCGAGCGTGATACCATGGCTATGCTCGAGCGCTTCCAGTCCAAACTATTTGGCGGCGACGAGCCCAGCAGCAAGAAAACCAAAGCATCAACTCTTCGCTCAGACGATAAAGAGGAGGCGGCCTTCATCCTGCGAGAGGAAGAGAAGCTTGGCGATGACTCGGGCTGGTATGCGCGGCTTTCTTGGCGTGATCTCATGCTAAAGGTTCTTTAAGAAACGCTCCCTGTCATTATGGCCTGACCTTACGCGGATAATGGCGCCACGGAAATAGGATGTCACACCGGCTGGAGAATCAAGTTGATCACGCACCCAAGGTCAGCAATACGGGCGTCTCTGGCGCACACCTTTCTTGGACTGATGGTTGTTCCCGTCTTAGCCATAGCTACCCATGCCTCAATCCATTGTCTCACGTCATAGGGTATCGACCCAGAGCTGGACCCAAACACACTTGATCTCTATGACCCTCGTAATCCTTTGAACCAACGACGCCGCGAGAAGGATCGGAAGGACAAGAAGGACCGCTCGCGCCGCCACCACCATCGAAGGTGATTGTATATCTTTCGGCAGCAGCACTCGTGCAAGCACCCGTTTCTTGTCATCTTAAGCTCGCCTGACCTTTGCCCCCAAGCCAAGAAATCATTCAAATTTACAAGAAAAAAGAAAACACGCAGAAGAACGTGAAGAATTTGAAGAAAGAAGATAGAGAAGAGGGCGGCGAAGGAGCCCGTTGTTGATGCATGGGTCAGCTGTTGCATGCAAGGTTCAACGATACAATGTGGTCTAGATTGTGGTCTGGATTCTGGCCTTCGTTAATTAGATACACGCGCGCTCAGCGCGAACAAGGCTATACGGAAAGCGTGCGCACAAGGAGAGAAGAGACAATCACCAGATGGGCACGGTCAGAAGAAAGTGGAAGTGAAACGCAAACACAATTCAGATAAACAGCAATCGCCCTCCGACAACAGCTCGGACGGTGGCAGCAAATTCAAATCATCATCATGATCATCATCATCATAGTAATAATTAGATGATTGTTATGAGATGGTACAGAAGCGAGAGCTGGCGGGTCGCGATGGGCCCTTGGCTGTCGGTTGAAGAGGTGTGGGACCAGGCGCCGTATTGACGCCCAGCGTTTCTCCATTGGGCTCGGCAGTTTTTTCTGCACTGACATTCCCGCTCTCTGATCCCAAGAGCGTGTCTAGTTTTCGCCGAAGTTCCTACAAGCTCAACTCGCGCGTCAGCATGGAGGGAACTGCTAGCCTAGCATCGGTCTGAGAGCCCATGAGCCATGGTTGTCATACCTTGAGCTCTGCTGCTTGCTTGGATACCTCGGCTTTGAGGGCCGCATTTTCAGAGCGAACCAAATGAATGTCAGCGTCCTGGGGTGGGCGGCAGGAAAACATGAGTCAATCACGTTGGGCCAAGCACGGCAGCTGAATGCGGCCCTAGGGTGGGCGGGTGAGCTAGGATGGGTGTTTCAAGAGTGTATCACTGACATGGTGGCTGGCACGCGGCGAGGCAATCTTTGTGTGCTGGGTGTCCTTCAAAGCAGGCGGCCGGAACCGCGGTGACAGGGTCACGCTCTGTCGGGGCACGGGCGTGGGCGTCGAGGCAGCACTGTCTGCTTCACCGCTGGTTGGTCTCACGACGTCGGAAGTCAATGAAGGCCGCGCAAGCGGCGAACCTGGTATCATGCTGCTAGGCAAATGTTTGGGGATTGAGGGCAAGGCTTGCAGTTCTTCAGGTCGAGGTAAACGGGCCTTGACTTGCTCGCCCAAAGGCCGTAAATTAGCTGGCATGGGAAACCTGCGTTCCCACGTGGTGAGTCAAATGCAGCATCAAGCAAGGACCAAGCAAGGAGAAATGAGATATGACTGTCGAGGGCGGCGCCAGCTTTGTTAGAGGCCTTACTTTACGGATGGGATTGATTTGCGAGCATCAAGGTTGCCGTCCGAAAACTTGCGTCGTGACGCTGGGCTGCGCGACACTCAATGAGTTTGTACAATTAAGCAGTACCCATATCCGAGCCACACACAGTGCATGCGCATGTGCAACTTTCCAAAACGCCAAGTCACGCAGACGGACCTGAGCTGAGGGATGGTGGTTGGTGGGGCTGGAAAGCGAGCCGGTTTGGTGGGTTTGGGTAGGGGAACCTTTTTCGGCATGTGCTTGAGTCGGATGCGGCGCTGGGCGAAGAGAGTGAGGGTCTGCGCAGATTGGGGTCGAATGTGCTCTGGATTCGCTGGACTCTGGCCAAGTTGAGATCCTGCTTCACCGCCTTGAGCTGCCGGAAGGGCTGGTGCTGCGTGCTGCTCTGGTCCATCGGTATCGGTGGTTGAGCCTGGCGCGGCTGGCGTCGCCAGCAACGGTGGCTGGAGCGCGGGCATGGGGGCATCCGGTCCTTTTGGGCTGACGTTGACTGCTGCACCAGGGGAGACACCTGGGCCAGTGGGGACAGTCCCATGGGGATTGAGAATGGGTCCTCCACTCAAGTCCAAGGGCCCAGCTGGCTTTGACAGCGGCCTTTTTGGCAAAATGTGACGCGTCGTGGTAATGACCGGGGGCCGGAGGGGAAACTTGGCCATGTGGCGCAGCGGCCGCGGGCGACTGACATCAACAAGTTCTTTGTTCGATGCAGATCCGCCCACATTTTCTCCTGCAGCGTGGAGCGCAGCACTCGGCGAAGTCGACTGTGAAGCAACAGCCGGGGCGTCAGTTGTGGCTGTGCCTGTTGTATTCGCGACAAGTTCGGTTGCATCGCCAGCCCGCATGGTATTGGCTGGCTCCGGGGCCTCAGCTCGGTCAGCACTCAGTTCCAGATCTTCTTGCTCCCATAGCGGCATGTTCGTGGCGTCCCGCACGGTGTGTAGTCCCTCGGTAAGCACGGGCATCCACTCATCATCATCGCTATTCTCGCTGTCGCTGCTATGTCGTTCATGGCCAAAGTGCCCACCGTTGTTCAAAGCATGTCCACCCAGATCAGAGCCATAGGTGAGGAGCGGCGGATCAGGGGTCATGGCCGAGGTCTGGGAGACAAAGCTCTCCGGCAGCGCTACAGCACCACTGCTGCCCGTGCCGGGACCGGCACGATGGTGTTGCGGGCGCTCACGATTATTGCTGCGTCGAGGCAGGTGCATGTCCATGACTAGGACAATCATGCTCTCGTCGGCGGCCATATCCGTCACAAAAGGCAGCTCACCCATTACGGCTGTGAGCCCAGAGCGACGACCACTGCCATTCCCACTGTGCGAACCAGAGTTTTGGCGCGAGCCGACCCCCCCAGGGTCGGCGTTGCCAGCGGCCAAACTAATCCAGTTTGGTTCGGCAAAGGCAGCAGCTTCTTCATCGCTGGGAGCGGCGTTGATGATGCCACACCCCCACACGAAAAGATCTTGGGGCACGTCTTCATTGGGACCAGCCTGTAAGAGCAAGTCCCGCTCACATGCGCTCACCATGGCAAAGTGCTTGCCCACAACGACTTGCTGCACGTCGTAGTCCCCAAGCACATGTTTGACAGAGGCGGCATGCTCACGACTTTTGAAGTTACCTAGAGTCCCATGTCAGTGTTAATGCGTCAGTAAACGGCACGGACACACGCAGCATAGTGGTCAAGATTAAGCGTCCACAACAGCAAGCTCCGCTGACCAAGCCCAGACGACGGCCCACGACATCGACTTGAAAAAAAAGAGAAAAAAAAGAAAAAAAAAAAAAAAAAAAAAAAGAAAAAGAAAAAAAAAAAGCGAAAAAAGAAGGCAAAGCGCTTGAACTCAAACCCGAGCACGAAGCCATTACGCAAACACACAGAAGGCGGCACATGCACATTCTGCGAGCAGCACACGTACCCGAGCCGAGGGCACCATAGTCGTTGCTGCCAAGGGTGTAGCATTTGCCCGTGTCCATGACCATACATGTGTTGTGGGCGCCCAAACTGACATCCTCCACCAAGCCTTTACCGTGGAGCTTGACAAGACTCAGCACTTCGGCCTTGAGTACTAATTTGCGCGAGATGAGGCCGTAGCGGGGATTGAGGCCCAATTTGTTGTGTGCGTTGCTACCGCACGCAAAGACACGCCCCGTGGTTGTCAGCACAGCCGTTGCGTCGGGCCCACAGAAGACAGCAGTGGGAAGGACGTTGTCTGGTAAATGAACGGCGCGGGGCGTCGAGGTGCTATCTAAGGCTGTCAGGCCCAGCTGGCCAAATTTGTTGTCGCCCCAAGTGAAGAGCTCGCCGATTTCGGTAATCACAGCCATGTGTTCGTGGCCGACGGCCACGCCCTTGACATGGGCACTGAGGAGTGCCTCCACGACTTGAGGCGTCTGTAAGTGCGACGTTGTCCGGTGTCCCAGCATGCCTGAGCTTCCACGGCCGCAGGTGGACAGCATGCCCGTGGCTGACAAAAATGCACTGGCTCCACCACCTGCTGCAATATGACTCGTGACCGAGTTCATGAGAGTGGGCACCAGAATGGGTTGTGTCTGGTCCTGCGTGGAGCCCGTGCCCAGCTGCCCAAATTCGTTGTTGCCCCAAGCAAAAACCTGAGCAACATCATTGAGAGCCAAGCAGTGACGGGTTCCACAGGCCACCTGAGTGATCTTGAAGCGGCGGCCAAATTCAATATGAATCGGAGCCATGTCAGCCGTCGTCCAGTGAAACACGACGCTTTGCATATGACTGCGTCGCTGGGTGCGCTGCGAGCGCGTGCGCAGGCTGCGCCGCGAAGCGGGGCGCAGGTTAACGTCTGTCTTCTGCAGCAGAGGGTGCTCCAGCATATCTCTACAGCTGGGCCGACGTGCAGGGTCGTGGCGCAGCATGCTGGTCACCAATGCCTTCAGCTCAGGGTCATAGGGTCCGTTGATGGGCGTAAATTGGCCCTTCATAATTTTGCGGACCAAAGCAGGCAAATTGGAGCCCTCAAAGGTGCGGTGGAGCGTGAGCAGCTCGTAAGCTACGCAGCCCAAGCTCCAGATGTCGGTTTTGTTGTCGTAGGGCTTGCCCTGGGCAAGCTCCGGGGATATATAATAAGGTCTAGAGCCAAGCCGTGGGTGGGTGAGGATCAGCAAACGGGGACCAGTGCGGGCGAGCGGCACGGCAAGACTGACGTGCCCACGACGGTGTGTGCCTTGGCCATGGTCGAGGCGATGCTCTTCGAAACTGAAAAGGTCGGCACAATGTTGATGGTTGGAGGCGATGATGAGACAGAGAATCACGAGATGGGGTTTCCACTAGCCGTTGGATGCCAGGTAAATGATACGTACTGCCAAAATCACCAAGCTTGGGCACGCCGTGGCGCGTCAGAAAGACGTTGTCAGCTTTGATATCTCGATGGATCACCTATTCGGTTTGCAATGAGCAGTGTTCAAACGCTGGGATGAGGGTGCTTGGGCGCCGTTGGTATGAATCAGCCAGCATCAGTGAGGAGGGACGAACATTTTGCGAATGGACGTAGTCAAGGGCCGCAACAATTTGTTTGAACATGTGAAGGACGCGCGGCTGAGGGACGAGGTCTTTTTGTTGGCCGATCCATTGCGCAAGGTTGCCACCGTCGGCATACTCCATTTCAATGCGCAAGACACCGTTGGTATCACTCGAGTCATAGTAACCAATGACGTTGGGGTGGTCGAACATGGCAAGCAACTTGACCTCGTTTTGAGCAAGAAGTCGATCTTTGGGCTTGAGATCGGTCAAAATAATCTCCTTGACCACGACCAACTCATCATCTTGGCGGCGGCGAAACAGGGTGGCGGTGCCATACGCACCGCGCCCGAGCACACGAATGCGCTCGAAGGTGGTCTCAATGTCGTCGAGGCGCGGGACCGTCACAGTGCCATTGTTGGCCACGGGGACAACTGTACCGTCATCACTGTTGCTCGATACGGTTGTTTCATCATGCCCACCGAGCACCGGCACATAGATGGAGTTTGGCATCTTGACTGAGCGGCTCACGCCAGCAAGGGAGCCCGGCTCAGCCTCGTCGCTGCTCATGACTGGATCTTTGTGATGGCCCCAGCCCGGCCAACTCTAAACCTGGGTGGGAAGGCGACGAGCGAAGTGGCTGCAGGCCTCAAAATCGCCACGGCACGTTGTTACGTCAATAATAAAAGTATGGGTGAGTGCTCAGTCAGCACTGTGCCCGGCGCCAGGCCGCGTTCAGGCCGTCCATCCCGACTGACTTGGGTCGGCTCAAACGCTTTATGACGCTCACAAGAGGGTGGGAGAGATCGGTCACACTGTGTGTCAAGTGCTTGACAACCCCATCGTTCACAACAACTGTTCCTATATCTCTGTGCATGCATGCATGTCCGGCGCTGTGATGATGTTGACTGTGAGTTGTTTTTCTTGTTTTGTTGGCGATCTGTTGCTCGGTGTGTTTGCTCAGAGAGCCTGCCACCACAAGTGCCCACCACATCATCTTCATCCCTCCTGGTACTCTGGCTTTGCACCCGTCAAAGGCCCGGCACCTGCTTTGTGTGAGCCTTGTCAACGCCTGACTTTGGTTGCATGCCATTGATTGAGACGGAGACGGAGTTTGTGCGGCAGATTCTGCGGTTGAAAAGAGGGCGAGCAGAACTGGAACAACATGGGCGGGCGCAGTGGGGTGCTCTTGGCAGCGTTTGGCATCTGCATTCTCCTTATGGCAAAGCAAGTGCGGGCGAGCGTATGTACCCCCAGCTCGGGCATCTATCATCTGTCATCGCAGCAAGATCTGGACGAGCTCTGGTCCGATTGTACCGTGATCAATGGCAGCATCGACATGGAGTGTGACACCAGCTTACCAGCCAACGAGCGCATCCGCGAACTTGAGGTTTTTTCTCTGGTCCAAGAGGTTCGAGGCTATCTCCGCATCCGCAAATGCGATGATCTGGGCTCGCTCGAGGGCCTGCAACGACTGGAACGTAAGTCCCTTGAAATTGGATTGGATAGACCCTTTCCGTCTCTTGCGCGATTGCGGCCATGGGTGAGGCGATAGAGCCCTGCGGCTGGCCCATGTGGTTCCATCCCCTACATTCCTCACTCTTGTGGGCCACCGTCCACTGCTTTTGCCATGCTCGTGCAGGAATTGCTGGTTTCAAGCTGTACAACGAGCCCGGGGCACGCCAAGGTTTCGCCATGTACATTGAGAACAACGCCATCATTGGCGACCTGGCCGGCTTGCGGAGTCTCAAGCAAATTCAGGGTCAAGGCAAAAGGGGTGCAGCCCGCGTTTCTATCAAGACCAATGACAACCTCTGCTACATGGATCTGGTGGGCCCCCACGAGTGAAAACCCGTGCTTGCTTGGCATGCCCCGCAACGGTATCTGCCCACCTGACCGTGCATGCGTGTGCTTTAGGTGGATTGGGATGCGGTGGTCGGATCGCGCGGGGAGCGTGCCGTGAGCCTTCTGAAAACTGCCTCTTGCGAGGATGCTGCCTGTCCAGTGGGGTGTCGTGCTTGCTGGGGCCCAGACAACGACGCTTGTCAATTCCGTGAGGTTCAAGATGCCAGCATCTTGCCATGGCTTATCCCCCTCGTCATTGTTGTGACCGGTTGGTTCACGTGCGATCGACTGGCAGCCTTTAATAATTCAGACAATGCAACTGATATCATCGGCTGGATGCCACCTGGTTGCGTACTCAATGCATGCCGGGCTTGCTGGATTGTTTAGTGGCCGTGGCCTTTCTTGTGTGGATGTGCATCACGCGGCGGTGTGGCTGCCGAATGCGCTATCGTCGAACGGCCGTGCAAATTGGCACCGTCAAGTACGAAATCTGATCAGGCCATCCTTCTCCTTCATTTGAGCGCTGACCGTCTCAGCCCACTATCTCATGTACTTGTGGTGCTGGGGCATCTCGTACTCGTCAGGAATCGACGCAAGTCATCCATGCAGCAACCCCTGTCTCCGGACACACAGCTCCGTCATCGGGGCTCGACCAACAGTGATCCGTTCCATAATGTGCCTTTTCCCAACTTGCAAAATACCAGCGCCTAGACTCAAGTGCGCTGTTGAGCGCGTGACACGCAACGAAGCATCATGGCGTTGTGCTTGAGCTATGTTTTGGACCCATGTTTTTCCTACATCTTTCTTTTGACCCATCGTTTGCTGTTCAAATGACCCGCTATCTGGGTTGATTGACGCACCGCAATATTCATGTCTGCCTGCTCCTACAAGCAAGTGGATGTTTCAAAAAATGTCCATAAATTGTCACACAAGAAAAGGTCGGGGAAAGGAGACAAGGGAGTCGGCACCGCAAATGGGGCTTTGACTTTTTGTGAACAGCAGTCAATCGGCATCGACCCCGGACCTGGTCACCGCGCAAGACACACGGCGTGATGACACCATGCAGTCGGTCCGCACAAAGGCATGTGAACAAAGAATACAGGTGAGAAGCCAAGCCCAGCCAACAATATAGGCAAATTGAGAAAGCACAGGGTGTAAGGAAAGACAAAGGATAGGGGAGGAGATGGCTGCCGGGGTCGATCAACTGGTCTCGTGTGAAGCATGCAACACGTCAATGCTTCACTCCCAAGGGTTAGGGTGCATGCCACTGGCGGCCGAGGCGCGGCAGTCAGTACGACACACGGGGCAAGTCGACTTTTGCGCCAACCAGGGTGCAAGGCAATCTTGGTGAAACAAGTGCTCGCAAGGTAGACGACGACACTCGTCGTTGAGTTCAAACTGCATCTGACACACGGAACAATCATTGCCCAAGGCTAGAGGGAGAACGGCAGTTTCGACAAAATGAGAAACATCCACTTGTAGCAAAAAGCCACATATTCAAGCTGCAACCGATTGGCCGCTTGGCCGAATCAGGATGGACAAACCTTCATGACCAGCGTCGATATGAATGGCCTCCATTCGCTCGAGCAGATTTTCGTCCGGCGCCACGTCTTGATGTGCCCCCATGCCAAAGGGCTCTGAACGCACCAACTGTCCCACACAAGGCAGTGAGTCGAGAAAAACAAAAATCTCGCCTTTGATAACCCCCCCGGAGCAGGCAAGGCAGGCACAAAAATCAACGACAACACACCTGCGTGAAGAAGGCATGAATGGCCTCAAGGCGCTCTATCACAAACGTGGCATGAAAACATCGTGAGTTATGGCTGAACAGGCAACAAAAGGGGTAGCCAGAGCAAACGAAAAAAAAAAAAAGGGCGACACACCACGAGATGCAGGAGAGCGCTGCTCTGTTGAGGCGGACAGGAGGTTGCGAAGCAAGCCGTCCAAGGCCATCAAGGGGTGTTGTGGCATATCATCGTCGGCAGCAGCATCTGCATCATCAGGGACGCCCATACCCATGGGCACACGAAAATTTTGACGACTGGAAGATGGGCGAAGCGCGGCCAGCACAGAACACATGAATCAACACCGGTTCCGATGAGGCCAGCACGACTGTTTGCGACGGGACACATTGATAGGCTTGCAGTGTGAGATGTGGGGCCGCTGCACAAGACTTACAAGCGAATGGCACGTTGTGCTTGTTGAAACTGAGGCGGGTCCTCAGCAGGCGGTGTGTAGTTTTCGATAAAAGATTCCTGACATTGTGGGCAGGCAAAGTTCTGACGAGCAAGGAGCATGGGCGCGTACGAGGGCGCATTCGATGAGACGGGAGGGCCAAGGACATTTACCACAGCAGGAGAGTGGAAGAAGGGCACAGGAAACGAGGCGTGCCCCTGGAGGCAGGCAAGCAAATGCGCGAGGCCAGGCAACACGACAACGACAACGTACTGCCTCTGGATCCTCGACGTGGATGGGTGCTTGACATTTGTGACACCAAAAGTTAGGATCACTCATGGTGACGGTTGCTGGTGCAATAAGCAGTCACGAGTGTCTCCACAGGCAAGTGGGAACAGCGCACCGCGTCGCTGGGGGGGGGGAGACGGTCGCTGTACAAGCAATCCTCCGCCCCAAATGACAAAACAAGCTCAACAATGTGTCGACGCGTGGTCGGGCAACAGTGAGGCAGTGCCCTTGCACGCGCGAGTCACGTGGATACAGGAGGTCGTGGAGACGAGCACTTTGCTCAGAAGTGAGATCCAAGGCCTGATGCCAAGCACGGGTTGTTGAGCTCGAGGTTCTGGGTGCCGTGCATTCAGCCCGCGGTGAGCGAGATGGGCGGAACAGACAACAGCAGTCGCAGTCTCGCACTGGTGACAAAGCAAGTAAATGCAAAGTCGCCCCAAATGTCTTCTGATAGCCCGAGTGCTGTTCTCACGTGCTGAACACACCCTAATCATGCACACGCGCTACCAAAACCTCGACTCGGAGGAGGAGGAGGAGGTTAGGCGAGCCAACCACTGGAGGCGTGAGAGAGAGCGCACACTAACAGCGCTGCCGATGAACAAAATGAAACACGCTTTGTTTGTTGTTGTGTTGCTTGATTGGTCTTCTTGCGCTTTCATGAAGATTCGAGTAGAGTTGTTGCAGATCTGTTAATGAGATAAGTGTTGGTTACTGTATCTATCGAGCAAGTTATTGAAGTCCACATCCTGCCTCGCTTGTCCTCTTGCAATCTGCAATAACTCCAATGTAAACGACAATAACTCTCAACATTACTACAGAACAGCACGTAAATAAAATCAGCTTTCCGACAATAACCTGACAACACTGACGTGAAAAGCTTCAATACACATGTAGCGTTGACAACACCGGCTGAGCAACAGTTGTTGCAAACAGTATTTTGAGCGATTCTTCTTCAAAGGTAAAGAGAAGTGTGTGTGTGTGTGTGTGTGTGTGCGACCGCGAGAGAGAGAGAGAGAGAGAGAGAGAGAGAGAGAGAGAGGGAAATTGGCAGTCCGTGCCCGCCTGGTGTGTGGTGTCGAGTGCGGCAAGGCGTACCAGTGCGAGGGGGGTGGTAGTAGATTTGTTTGGTTGGTGACGCTGTAGGGGGGGGGGGGGGGGGGGGGGGAAAAAAAGGGGAAAAAAACTAAAAAAAAACCCGGG